CTAGCAAACCAGGCAACTAAAAACAACTTTCTAAACAATGTTTTGGTTCGTTTCTAGCTTGTTTGCTGGCTAGCCAGTTCAAATAATGACCATATCATAGCTGACAACGTCTTAACTTTAGCAATTTTTTCTTGATTATTACAGGAAAATCACTCGACATCACTAACCATGAGTCACTTGACCTCTCTAACCATGAGTCACTTGACCTCACTTTCCCTCCTTCGCTCTCCCTCTTCACTGCCAACTAACTTCCTATTTCCTTTTCAAAAACCAAACTTCACTCATCAAAACTCAATTTCACACAGCTTTTTTACACTGTTCCCAATTTCACACAGCTGTTTTACACTGTTCCCAATTTCAATCATTTTTCAAAAGATAAACGTTCCCTGTGATTTCTTCTATCCATCTACATTTACGTCATTTAGCAGTCGCTCTTATCCAGAGCGACTTACAGGAGAAATTAGGGTTAAGTGCCTTGCTCAAGGGCACATCGACAGATTTTTCACCTAGTTGGCTCGGGGATTAGAACCAGCGACCTTTCAGTTACTGGCACAACGCTCTTAACCACTAAGCTACCAGCCGCCTTATCTATAGATAGGTATACTTATAAGTATATCTGTATATCTGCCGATAGTTTATGTTTAGGTTCATTGCATTTCCATTTGAAACGTGTAACACATCTCATGTATCTTAATAATATGTGTTGTAGAACATAGCTGTCTAGCATCTTGTTTTTACACGATTCGTCACCCTTTCCATCTCCCTTTCTCCATTCCTTCACTATGTGATCATCATTGAATCATGCAACAGGAATTGGAGTTTATTGCCATCATCATCAGGATACAGGGCACTACCAGTATATCTCAACTGATATCCACTGGTCAGTTTGAACTGGTAGAAGGTACTGTACATGTCTTTCCTATACAGCTGTACTAATGTGGTGTATTTCACCGTTTATCGTCCAGCCTCAACCACATACTTCACAGTGGGGTGAGATACACATTACGATATATTGTAGCTATAACTGTCAAACAGCAGAGAAACCACATTCACAGCAAGTAGAGAAAGCAGAATCTTGGTGTAACATCCAGAAAATTACAGTACTCTTACACATGTACATCAACACAAAGCAGACATTGTCTAATTCAAACAAGACATGACATGCCACACAACGTTCTTAAATATTGTGAAATGAATGTCCTAGTTATTCGGTTACGTAAATCAGATTCATACCTGACTGAGATTGTTTTTAATCCTCTTCTTTTCCACACTGAGTAACGTTTATCTCCCAAAGATGACTTCTCTCTTCCTCCTTTTTTACATTAAACACATAAACCTGGCTGAATGTCACTAACCTCCTCTCTCTCTCTCTCTCTCTCTCTCTCTCTCTCTCTGTCGCTCCCTGACACTTTCTAAAACACCCAGTGCCGGCTTGTGCAAGAGTGGTGGAGAGGAAAGCTTCTAATTCAAGCCACACCCCCTCCTCCTCATCCTCCCTATGACTTAATGTGTGTAGTAACAGTGAAGCTGAGTAAGGGCTGTCTGCATCTGTAATAAACGCCTATCTCGTATTGAGTAACGAATAGATATTATGGAAGTATTGCACTTGTGTAACACCCAAAAGTGGTGGTCATTAATCAGAACAAGTCATGACAAAATATATTTAGATTATCTCACTGACAGAGTGATCACATGTAACATACAGTGGCTCGCGGAAGTATTCACCCCCCTTGGCATTTTTCCTATTTTGTTGCCTAACAACCTGCAATTAAAATTGATTTTCTGGGGGGTTTGTATCATTTGATTTACACAGCATGGGTACCACTTTGAAGATGCAAATAATTTTTTATTGTGAAACAAACAAGAAATAAGACAAAAAAACAGAAAACTTGAGTGTGCATAACTATTCACCGCCGCAAAGTCAATATTTTGTAGAGCCACCTTTTGAAGCAATTACAGCTGCAAGTCTCTTGGGGTATGTCTCTATAAGCTTGGCACATCTAGCCACTGGGACTTTTGCCAATTCTTCAAACAAAACTGCTCCAGCTCCTTCAAGTTGGATGGGTTCTGCTGGTGTACAGCAATGTTTAAGTCATACCACAGATTCTCAATTGGATTGTTTCCCCTTAAACCACTCAAGTGTTGCTTTAGCAGTATGCTTAGGGTCATTGTCCTGCTGGAAGGTGAACCTCCGTCCCAGTCTCAAATCTCTGGAAGACAAACAGGTTTCCCTCAAGAATTTCCCTGTATTTAGCGCCATCCATCATTCCTTAAATTCTGACCAGTTTCCCAGTCCCTGCTGATGAAAAACATCCCCCCAGCATGATGCTGCCACCACCATGCTTCACTGTGGGGATGGTGTTCTCGGGGTGATGAGAGGTGTTGGGTTTGCGCCAGACATAGCGTTTTCCTTGATGGCCAAAAAGCTCAATTTTAGTCTCATCTGACCAGAGTACCTTCTTCCATATGTTTGGGGTGTCTCCCACATGCCTTTTGGCGAACACCAAACGTGTTTGCTTATTTTTTTCTTTAAGCAATGGCTTTTTTCTGGCCACTCTTCCGTAAAGCCCAGCTCTGTGGAGTGTCCGGCTTAAAGTGGTCCTATGGACAGATACTCCAATCTCCGCTGTGGAGCTTTGCAGCTCCTTCAGGGTTATCTTTGGTCCCTCTCTGATTAATGCCCTCCTTGCCTGGTCCGTGAGTTTTGGTGGGTGGCCTAATTTAACTAATTATGTGACTTCTGAAGGTAATTGGTTGCAGCAGATCTTATTTAGGGGCTTCATAGCAAAGGGGGTGAATACATACGCACGCACCACTTTTCCGTTATTTATTTCTTAGAATTTTTTGAAACAAGTTATTTTTTTTCATTTCACTTCCCCAATTTGGACTATTTTGTGTATGTCCATTACATGAAATCCAAATAAAAATCAATTTAAATTACAGGTTGTAATGAAACAAAATAGGAAAAACGCCAAGGGGGATGAATACTTTTGCAAGGCACTGTAATATAACCCTGTTACTATGCATGACTAGAGAACAGTAGTTTGTTTGCTCTTGTAGCTAATGTTGTTTACCAGAAACATCGGTGTAGAATACTGTGAGTGAAGTGACGGTGTTCTGTCATGCCCTTGCAAGGTGTGAAGAAGCCAGAAATGTTGTGAAAACAGCACTGCTTCTGGCTAACAGAGAAGATTTCCACTGTCTAAATAAATGTTTCCATTCCTCTTGGCAATATCAGCAAACTGTCAAAAACTCTTCTCTCACTTCTATCTTCCTCTGTGTTTCCTTCCTCTCCCTCAACCTGAAGGACCTTAAATAACTGACTGTAAACCTAAAGTTAAGTGGCTTAACTGATCTATATCATAAAGGACACAGTGACTGAGTGATTTACTCAACTGGAGTTGAAAGCATGCATGTGAGCCCTATTGACACTGTAAATAAAATGCAAACTCCTTTCATGACTCAAAGTACACACTAAAGCCTCTAGATGATTATATTGCAACCAGACATTCAAGTTACTTGATAAAGAAAGGCTTGCCTTGTATTCTGGAAGGTCCTTCGCTTTTGACTTTTTAACTGATGGTTTAGATAAATGTCATATCGTTTGTTTCTTCAACATTCAGGAGAAGTGTTCCTTTTGTGTTTAATTCTGACACCGTAGGCTCTGCTAAATCAAACCACATTTTACTTATGTGCAAACAATCAGTCAATTAAACTTCTCTAAATGCATTTTATTTGAGAGGGGAGGTCTCATTTTTATACTTCGATCAGTTAAGAGAAAATAAATGTTCAGCTTTAAATCTGGACATCCTGCTAAAGACAGCATTATATGTACTTCAACACCTCTTAACATGTGTGTGAGCAAAAGCACCACAAGGCAGGCTAAATACACAAGTGTGAGGGTGATAGATTCTCTGGGTTTGTTTCCTGTCTGTCTGGTTTGTTCTAATGAAGAAAGGAACAGAGCTGCATGCTTAGATAGAAATGTGTTGTACAGAACAGACATGCTTCTCAGTCAAGTAAAATATGGACTTTTGTCAGCACTATTCATTACATTTCTACGTTATTACCTAGTGGTCACTGAGAATTTCTCAAAATATTTAAAGTTGCATTTTACTGGCCATCTAGTACGCAGAGAAGAAATACACTACAAAATGTATTACTTGAAACTTTTATTTTGAGTATTTTGAAGAATACTTAACAGACCTGATTTTGACACATCCAAAAACACAGGTTATGTTTTCAAAATGTGTAGATTTCATGGGTGGGGTGGCCGACGATGAAGTACTAGTGACAACATCAAATATAATTACAAACTTTTATGAAACCAGTCGTGAATTTGTGCTCAAAATCCACTTTCATTCCAGTTCCAAAAACATTCCTTTCAACCAATTCTCAATTCGCTTTGTTTGTCACTAATGTCAACAGAGAAAGTTATGGAAAAAAACTATTACTGTACGGTGTAAAGGTCAAATATATATTACTGTTCGGTGTACACTGTAAAGATAAAATATATTATTGTAGGGTGTATGCTGTAAAAGTAAAATATATTACTGTACGGTGTACACAGTAATGGTAAAATCTACTACTGTATGGTGTAAAGGTATAATATATAACTGTACTGTGTACACTGAAGGTAAAATATATTACTGTAGATGTATGGTGTAAAGGTAAAATATATTACTGTATGGTGTAAAGGTAAAATATATTATAGTACAGTGTAAAGGTAAAATATGTTACTGTACGGCGTAAAGGTCAAATATGTTACTGTACGGCGTAAAGGTAAAATATGTTACTGTACGGCGTAAAGGTAAAATGTATGACTGTACAGTGTATGTTGTAAAGGTAAAATATACAAAGTAACTGAGGTGAATAGTTGAAGATGAACACTGGGTAAAGATTGAAGCCAAATCTGTTTTTTCCTTTTCGGCAAGAGATAAAAAAGTGTAGTAAGTAACTTTCATGGCGAAATTAAAAAATGGCTACTAAAGATGGCAGAGTCATTGTGAATCGGAGGATGAATCTTTGACGTCTGTGCTCTCTGTAGCTTCGCTAACTTCACTGAGCTCTTTGCTCTCTCCACCACTGTCCCTCTCTCCCTCTTTCTCCTGGTCACCAGGTGTGGTCGTAGCGGTAAGGGTCTCCTGACCCAGTGCCTTCACTCCTGGCTTCCTCAACTGTGGGACCCATAGACAGAAACAACAGACACACTTGGTCAGAATGCACTAGACAGACACGTGGTCAGAATGCAGCTTTGACCAGGTTCTGGATATCGAAAAAATATGTTCCGCCTATGATAAAAAAGAGACACTGCAATCTATGCTCCCATGTGGAGTATTGGTAAACATAGACAGCAGTGTGTGGAGGTGTCTCTCTTAATGGTTTGTTGAAAGGTTGACCTTACCCTCATGGCAGAGAGGAGCCACTGTATGCAAAACACTATCAAGCCATGCTGCTGGAAAGAAGGATAGGAGTTAAAACTCACCTCATCAGCCATGTGAGCTAGGTCTCTCTTCATGGCATAGGCATCCTCCCCATCTGCATAGTATTTGGGCTCTATTTCACTAATCCTATAGAGGTGAATGAAAATGATTAGTATGTGAGTGGGGAATAGGATCAACACATTATACATGGACATTGTTTGTGATCGTAGCACTGCAAACAATCACTGGTTAAATAAGGGAAAAGTAAAATAAATAAACAACCTCTTTGGATACATTTGAATTCTGCAGCAGAGACCATCATTTGGATATATCAGTAGGGAATATGACTCCACAGTTCCCGAGACAACCTCACTTTGACTAGGAGGCTGACATGCAACATCAACATTTACATAAGCACTTGCTTTAGGAGGGTCCATTTACACAAGGACAGGCAGGAGGAGATCCATGTTACTTACTGGAATTTCAGTGTGTTGGAGTACAGGTGCAAGGCCGCTCGGTTACTGCAGTAGGAGAAAATGAGATGGATGCAATTCAAGTTATTTGTGAACCAAAAAATACAGATACAGATCAACAGGATAAAACAATACAAGTCACATTAAGAATGGTCTGAAAAACAATGTCTCTCTGTATTCAAATTATCTTCTGTCTATACTTCTCTAGAGAACAGGAGAGTGATATGTATTCAACATTCCATTACAACAACTAATCTGGAAATTCTTATCTAACAGCAATATAACAATGACTAGTGGAGTGGTGGAGACATCTCATTGAAGTCCAACACAGACATCCAGCACACTGCACTACCTTTTCCGGACATGAAGTGAGACATATTTGGCATTGAAGTTTTCAATCATAGCTCGGCTGGCTTGGTCCATCAGCTTCTGAGCCAGACCCAGACGTCTGTGAGAACGCTTGACAGCCTGAGAGACAGACAGACACAAAGACAATCCAAACATTTGTTAACAGTCCTTCCTGTCACTCAACAACAACAACTAAACAACCTGACAAGGTGCTGCAGATGAGAGGTCACCTTCTTCTTCTGCAAGCTCCTCCATAGTCTACTGCCTATCCCATATTGAACCTATAAAGTACTACAATGAACAGTACAGAACCAAGACTCACCAGGGATGTGATGTGACCATGGGGGACATCATCTGGGTCCTCCTCCCTGCATGCCACATAAAGAGTGAGGGCTTGATAGACACTGACAAACAATGGCATGAGATAAGCTCTGTAGTTCAGGTATACTCACATCTTGGCCAAAACATATCCCACTATTTTGCCATTCTCATCCTCTGCGATGTAGGAGAGCTGAAAGATGAACAAAGAGGTGATGTTAGAGATAGACGCACAGAGTTACACAGACATCTGCTCTTTAATTATGTTACTTTTATTTATTTTTATTTTTTTATTTCATGTTATTTTTGGTCTACACCTGTTGTATTCGGCGCATGTGACAAATACAATTTGATCTAGTAACAACTAGCTAGACCAAAATCGAATGTTACTCATTCCTATTGGTTGAGTAGAGAAATTCCATTTTTGACTGATTGAATGCAAGAACAAAGACTTGACTCAAGTGATATGAATGAAGTGGCAATGGAGATGTCTGATGATGAAGAGGAAGCCATATTAACCTGTGGCCAGGACAGTCCATGGTAGAAGTAGTATTTCATCTGGTAGTTCTCTGGGAGACACAGCAGGTTGCAGTGCTGCATGTTCATAAGGTCCTCCGGCTGAGGAAACAGAACAACAAGACATGTCAATGGTTTGGACACTGATTGAAACAATGGCACTTGAGAAAAGGGACAACCAGAAGAGATGTCATGTCTGGACTGTGGACACTGATTCAATCAAAACGTCACTAACGTTACTAGCTAGCTAACGTAACTACACTTGAAGTGGAACTAGTTACTCTTGTTCACTTTGTATCCAGCTAGCTACCGTAGTAGCAATCCATTTACGTAGTAGCTAATTAAGCTAGCAGCAGTTTCACTTGACAAGCAAACGTGCAGCGATCACAAAGCCTTGCATTGTTATTATAAATAAGAATTGATTTGATTTGATTAGCGATGGGTGGCTAGCTAGCTAGCTAACACACATAGTGTTGCATGGTCGGCTCACTTACCCTCGCGTTGCGAATATTCATGTTTTCTTCGACTGTCACAATTTTAGATGATGAAATTTATAAAGTATGGAACTAAAGTGTTTTATGAACTCCTAACGTTGTCTATAAATTATGTTTAAGATATGTTAGTTAGCTAAATTGAAGGGGAAGCATGCGATAAACCGGAAGGGGTCCAGAGGTGAGTCCCGCCTCTAGTTGCGTGGGATTGGACTGGCTACAGCGGAAATTATGAAATAGAACCTCCAACACCCAATGAGGACAGGAATACATTTTGACGGACATATCAGTGAAGGCGCACTTGATTAGTTTGCCCGGTGCGCCGGGAAGCTGAGTAAAATAGGTGTTATCCGGCGCATGCGGGATGAGCTACCATAAATCAAGTACACCTAGACTCCCCACAGTCCATGCACAAGCCTTATTAAAAAATGTCCCTAGCATTGGCAATGATCAGTGCATTACCAAGGTATTACGTTGATATTCGTTTTTTAAGGGTAATTAAGTCAACAACATTAGGCAACTTCTCAGTTCAATTCAAGTTCAGACAGTTTAGGCTATAAAGACTAGAGTTGGCAAAAAAAAAAAAAAAGGCTTATGAAATGTAGGATATTTCATACAGAGCAGTTAAAAGTGTCTAAAGAGTAAAAGAAATCCAATATTTTGACATAACTTGAATTTATGCTAATTACCTGCAACGGGTAGTAACAGCCAATCAGAGAGCAGCATGCAAATGTTAACGACAGGTGCGAGACGAGAGAGGCATATAAGGAAACCAAAATATTTTTAGAAAAGAAGCCTACCTGTCACTGACATGCGCGTTAATATAAAGACAGGGACTTTACAGATACAAAAAAGTTTCGCTATCTTATCAGAGCTATATGGTATCTGAACAACACTTTGAGATATTGTTTTGAGAGTGGAGCTGGTATCAGGAGAGGTTATAATTTGAATATGCGGCAATATTGAATTATTGGAATAATTTGTAGAATAAATCGTTCTACCCTTGCCTACATTCTTCTGTGAAAGTAAGATAGAGAACTACAATCCTGTCTATCTATACTATAGACGTTTGTAGAGATACATGTAGTATGGACGTAGGTCTAGTACAGTTGGAGTCCAGTCTATGGGTTGGTAAGAAACGTTACCGGGCAGCCCTTACCGGTTTGCACCTCAACTGGACTGAGCTCGATAAGAAGAACCGCGATAAGACCGGTGAGTCCCTTTTATCCTTTTATCCCTCACTTTCATCGTGCATGGCATCTGTTGACCCCCTCTCTTTTTAAATGCAGACATTTCATTATATACATTACATTTAAATACACTTTTATGTAGGCTCATATAGAATTTATATAGGATTTTATCTTAGGTTGCCTAGTAATAACTGCATAACAATCTCATTCACTCTTAGAATAAAGTAAATAAAAGGACGACTTGACTAGCCTCATATGGTAATCATTCCATCCCATCAGCATTACACAGCATGCTTCTTGTTGTTTTGAGTAGAGAGAATGTGTGCTATGCACCACTAATAGAAAGTCACCAAACCTGTCTTGGAGACAGCATGCAAGTGGAGACTAATGTAAATAGGCTACATGCTAGTGGTAAAATGTGAAGACTTATTTCAACAATTATGAAATGAAATTATATCCATTCTGTAAAGTTAGTAGGCTAGTAAGTAGTGTGTGTTTCAGAGAAATTGCTATAAACAGACAAATTATTATAGGCACACTGTATTTCACTCATGAAGAATGTTGCTTTTCCTGTAAAGGTGAATTACAAGTTATACAGCACTAACACAAAACACTAGAAAACACACACACACACACACACACACACACACACCTATCTGATATGCCCTTTAATTAATAGTCACATGAGCTCAATATAGGCAAAATATTTACCAGTGTGTGTGTATGTGTGTGTTTGTGTGTGTATGTGTGTGTTTGTGTGTGTGTGTGTGTGTCGGTGTCTGTAGCCTCCTTTACACCTTGCGCTAACATGTGAGTTTGATGAGCTGATCAATATGACCCAATCACTATCTGACCAAGGTTTGTCGCATCTACATATTGTATTAAAATGTGTCTCTTAGCCGTCTATAGTGTCCGCATTGTGACCATATTAGATGGTCCCTCCCTGTATGCAAATTATTTGACAGATACTTTCAAAATCATGTTTATTTTTAAGACAATTACTGATGCCACAAGTCAATAGTGCTACCTGTCAATGATTTTAGAGGACGGTATATTGATTGAATGAATTTAAATGGTTTAACCATCCAGATCTGTTTACACTTGATTGATATTCAGACACAATGTGTGCCTGAATACCTCCGGAGGTGGCGAGGAAGATCTGATCACAATCAGATCACAATGTGTCTTTTAATCATCTACAACTGCCTAAAAATGTGGGCACTATCAGAATGTGGACAATATCAGGACAAAGGACGCATGTTATCACCAGGTATAAACAGGGCTTATGTGATACAAGTTTCAATGTCATACTGTGCCTGTGTGATCCTAGTTTCAGTACCAGTGTCGGAGGTTGTTGGTGTGGAGGAGGGGCGTGTGGAGGTTCTACCCCAGAGGTCAGTTTCTGAAGACACAGACAGAGACTTCACAGGTGAGTTATGTTACTGCCCCAAGGTCGGATACACAGTCTCTGGTAACAGACGCAGCGAGAGATTTGGTTCTGGGAGCCGAGATTAGACACAACACAAAATCAAACAAAAGCGATTTATTGGTGTGTGTGTGTGTGTGTGGGGGGGGGGCTTATAAGGATTCTTTATTAAGCCTTGATGTACTTTGTTTAAAGTGTGAACAGTACGCTTTCTCTCTCCCCCCAATCCCTCTCCCCCTCCCTCCCTCCCTCCCTCCCTCCCTGTGTACTGTTCTGCAGTGTTCTATGTGAAGCGCAGCAGCAGTGGTAGTTCCTATGGGTTGCTATGGCACCTGGGCAGGACCCAGTTCAGCTGTCCCAGCAGGGACCTCAGAGACCAGTGGATGACCCTGCTGAGGATTGCCCTCAAAACACACAGTAAGGATAACTTCACTTGTCCTGAGATAAGATAAAATAGATAAAATAGTGCAATTCTAAACCCCCCCCCCCCCCCGCCGCTGCCAACTGTTGTTTGTTATGGATCCACTCTGTCTCCTCTCTTTTTCTTTGGATCTGTCTATCCTCCTCTCCTCTCTCAGGCTCCTCTCGTCCTCACAGGTTGTTGGTGTTCATCAACCCGTTCGGAGGAAAGAAACAAGGGAGACAGATCTATCACTCTCTAGTGGCCCCACTGTTTGAGCTGGCAGGTATCAGCGCTCATGTTATAGGTGAGACCCGTGTGAGACAATAGTAATGCAGAAAATCCTGTGACGTACTGACAAACCGATAGAACTGGTAGTTAAGTTTGTTTCGTGGATTTGTCTGTAGCAGGCTAATTACCAAGTGCATTGTGTGGTGATATTGGCGTGACACATAATTATGCTCATAATTACATGGTCTATTGCAATATAATAACATGGTCTGTTGCTATATAATAACATGGTATATTGCTATATTATAACATGGTCTATTCTAGTAGTAAAACACATTTTGCTTTGTTTTTGTCATTCAGTGACAGAGCGGGCCAACCAGGCGAGAGACCACATACTAAAGAAAGACCTGACTGGTTTCGATGGGTACGTCAGACATTTGAATGTTGTCATGTAAACAGCAACACTATGGCAGCCAATTATTATGCCGTAATGCTACCCTATTCACTGCTTTTGATGAGGGCTCTGGTCAAAAGTATTAAGGCCCATAGGACTCTGTTCAAAAGAAGTGCACTTTATAGGGAATATTGAGTAGCGCACTACATTTCAGGCGTAGCCTGTGATTGGGTTTCATCACATCACTGTTTGTTTATGTTTGTCCCTACCTCAGTGTGGTATGTGTGGGCGGGGACGGAATGTTCAGCGAGCTGCTGCACGGTGTGATTGGCCGAACACAGCAGGAGGCAGGGCTATCGGAGCATGACCCCTCCCTACAGTCCTGTGACCTTCACATTGGCATCATTCCTGCAGGTGAGAGAGACATCATTGATCAATAATTAAATAAGTTGATCTCAGAAGACCTTCCTCAAAGAAAGTGGATGTTCTCTGATGTTCTCTTCGCGCCCTACTGAAATTTGAGAAGGAGGCGAGAAGGGAGGACACAAGGAATCAAGAAAAGACTTAAGATTAACCCTAACTATAAAGATGCGTCTGATATGAGTCTGTGTGTTCTCTCCTCAGGCTCCACAGACTGTGTGTGTTTCGCCACTGTGGGAGTCAATGACCCAGTGACCTCTGCTCTGCATATTATCATTGGTGAGATATGATCTTAAATTAAAAACACATTTAATAAGACATAATACATTTGAGATTACATTGTACTTGACTTTGTTATCTGGTGTATCTTAAAATCATCTTTAGCCACTGGGGCGGTAGGTAGCCTAGCGGTTAAGAGCGTTGAGCCAGTAACCGAAAGGTTGCTGGTTCGAATTCCTGAGCCGACTAGTTGAAAAATCTATCGATATGTCCTTGAGCAAGGCACTTAACCATTGCTCCTGTTAGTCACTCTGCATAAGAGCGTCGACTAAAATGTAAAAAGCATCACTTTACTGGAGCCATAAGCAGCAACTTTAGCCATAAGCAGTCATAAGCAGCATCATCATTTCACAAGGGCAGAGTTGTGAAGTTAATGTCAATATTCAAAATCATGATCTAAAACCCTCCTTGTCCTCCACATTCCCACAACCCATTGCAGGAGACTCTCAGCCTCTGGACGTGTGTTCTGTCCACCACCGCTCGTCTCTGGTGCGTTACTCTGTGTCTCTGGTAGGATACGGGTTCTATGGAGACGTGCTGGCTGAAAGTGAGAGACACCGCTGGATGGGGCCTCTCAGATATGACTATTCAGGTATGGAACGGAAAATTCAAGCAGCAATAGACGAGAAGGTGTGCTTTATTGTGATTATTGGCACAATGTGATGCAGTCACTATGTATGAGGCGATGCTGAGTACCATCAGCTTCACATGGTCTAATATTGCAGACATATGTCATAGACAGGGCCTCTCAGATATGACTACTCAGGTATACTGTATATGGAATGGCCTAAAACAGAGGCTATTACATTTAGTTATTATATAATATTTCTTAAACACCGTCTGCTAGACCAAGGTGAAGGTCTGAGGATAACGATAAAATTAGGAATTAGAATACTACTAATTTAATAGGATCTCTATGATATCTATATCTATATCTATAGATAGATCTATCTACGCTACCGTTCAAAAGTTTGGGGTCACTTAGAAATGTCCTTGTTTTTTTAGAAAATCATTTTTTTTGTCCATTAAAATAACATCAAATTGATCAGAAATACAGTGTTGATATTGTTAATGTTGTAAATGGCTATTGTAGCTGGAAACTGCAGATTTTTAATGGAATATCTACATAGGCGTACAGAGGCCCATTATCAGCAACCATCAGTCCTGTGTTCCAATGGCACGTTGTTTACTAATCCAAGTTTATCATTTTAAAAGGCTAATTGATCATTAGAAAACCCTATTGCAATTATGTTAGCACAGCTGAAAACTGTTGTGCTGATTAAAGAAGCAATAAAACTGGCCTTCTTGAGACTAGTTGAGTATCTGGAGCATCAGCAATTGTGGGTTTGATTACAGGCTCAAAATGGCCAGAAACAAATAACTTTCTTCTGAAACTCGTCAGTCTATTCTTGTTCTGAGAAATGAAGGCTATTCCATGCGAGAAATTGCCAAGAAACTGAAGATCTCGTACAGCGCTGTGTAATACTCCCTTCACAGAACAGCGCAAACTGGCTCTAACCAGAATAGAAAGAGGAGTGGGAGGCCCCGGTGCACAACTGAGCAAGAGGACAAATACATTAGAGTGTCTAGTTTGAGAAACAGACGCCTCACAGGTCCTCAACTGGCAGCTTCATTAAATAGTACCCGCAAAACACCAGTCTCAACGTCAACAGTGAAGAGGTGACTCCGGGATGCTGACCTTCTAGGCAGAGTTGCAAAGAAAAAGCCATATCTAGAGGGAAAGATGAACGGCACAAAATACAGAGAGATCCTTGATGAAAACCTGCACCAGAGCGCTCAGGACCTCAGACTGGGGCGAAGGTTCACCTTCCAACAGGATAACGACCCTAAGCACACAGCCAAGACAATGCAGGAGTGGCTTCGGGACAAGTCTCTGAATGTCCTTGCGTGGCCCAGCCAGAGCCCGGACTTGAACCCCATCGGACATCTCTGGAGAGACCTGAAAATAACTGTGCAGCGACGCTCCCCATCCAACCTGGCAGAGCTTGAGAGGATCTGCAGAGAAGAATGGGAGAAACTCCCCAAATACAGGTGTGCCAAGCTTGCAGTGTCATACCCAAGAATACTTGAGGCTGTAGTCATTGCCAAAGGTGCTTCAACAAAGTACTGAGTAAATGATCTGAATACTTATGTAAATATGATATTTAATTTATTTTATTTTTATACATTAGCAACATTTCTAAACCTGTTTTTGCTTTGTCATTATTTTACATTTTTTACATTTTAGTAATTTAGCAGACGCTCTTATCCAGAGCGACTTACAGTTAGTGAGTGCATACATTTTTCATACTGGCCCCCCGTGGGAATCGAACCTACAACCCTGGCGTTGCAAGCGCCATGCTCTACCAACTGAGCTACAGGAGGACCAGTATGAAATTATGGGGTATTGTGTATAGATTGATGAGGGGAAAAAACGATTTAATCCATTTTAGAATAAGGCTGTAACGTAACAAAATGTGGAAAATGTCAAGGGGTCTGAATACTTTCTGAATCCACTGTATATATACATATATATCTACAGTGCTGTGAAAAAGTATTTTACCCCTCTCAATTTTTCTCTTCTTTTGCATATTTTTGGTACTGAATGTTATCAGATCTTCAACCAAAACCTAATATTAGATAAAAGGAACCTGAGTGAACAGTGAACAAATAACATAACAATTACATACTTATTTAATTTATTTCATAAATTAAATTATACAACACCAAATGCCCCTGTGTGAAAAAGTCATTGCCCCCTTACACTCAATAACTGGTTGTGCCACCTTTAGCTGCAATGACTCCAACCAAACGCTTCCTGTAGTTGTTGATCAGTCTCTTTCGTCGCTGTGGAGGAATTTTGGCCCACTCTTCCATTCAGAACTGCTTTAACTCAGCGACATTTGTGGGTTTTCAAGCATGAACTGCTCGTTTCAAGTCCTGCCACAACATCTCAATTGGGATTAGGTCTGGACTTTGACTAGGCCATTCCAAAACTTCAAATTTGTTGCTTTTTAGACATTTTCATGTAGACTTGATTGTGTGTTTTGGATCATTGTCTTGCTGCAAGACCCAGCTGCGCTTCAGATTCAGCTCACAGATGGATGGCCTGACATTCTCCTGTAGAATTCTCTGATACAGAGCAAAATTCATGGTTCCTTCTATTAAGGCAAGTCGTCCAGGTCATGAGGCAGAAAAGCATCCCCATCACACTACCACCACCATGCTTGACCGTTGGTAAAAGGTTCTTACTGTGGAATGCAGTGTTTGGTTTTCGCCAGGAATAATGGGACCCATGTTGTCCAAAAAGTTATACTTTTGACTCATCTGTCCATAGAATATTCTTCCAAGAGTCTTGGTGATCATCCAGGCAAACTTTAGTCAACTTTATGTCTGGCGAAAACCAAGCACTGCATTCCACAGTAAGAACCTCATACCAATGGTCAAGCATGGGGGTGGTAGTGTGATGGTGTGGGGATGCTTTGCTGCCTCAGGACCTGGACGACTCGCTCACTACATATCAAGCTCTAAGGAGTAAGTCATGTCTATAATGACAATCTGCATCATGACAGAACATTCAAATATAGTGTTACATACCAATTAGAGAAACTCTATCCTCACTACCTCTCTTTCTCTGTGTTTTTGTCTCTGTGTTACCTTCCAGAAAATGTATCAACCCCTACAAAAATGTCCATTAATTATAATCCACATAATAATTCACATTTCCTGTTGCTGCAGGATTATTTTCCTGGTGAAGCAAACTGTCTCAAAGTAAAATCATACATCTGTAGGATGGTTGCTAACCCCCCTCTCTCCCTCTCTTCCCCCAGGTGCTTTGGTGTACCTGAGTAACAGGAGCTATGCAGGCCTAGTTCAGTACCTACCAGCAGACCACCAGCTCTCCAGCCCCAGGGACAACACACGCTGCCTCTCTGGGTAGCAACTAACAATATTTCTCAGAAAATAAAAACACTCACTCACTGCCTGGTACACAGATCCAAAACAAGGCTTACCCAGGGAAGAAAAGAAGGATGGTCCTCATCTTTACTTGTTACAGAGAGGAACTAATACATACGTACTAGCACATGCTCCTCTAAACGTTGTGATTGACAGTGTGTTTTTAACTACATAATGATAAGCTTAGCATGAACAACTCACTGAAGCTAACAGAGGGACTTCTGATACCACTACCAGTCTCAAATGTAAGGTCCTGATAGAAACAGTTGCCCTAGATTTCATCACCTCAACTGTTCCGTGGTGAGAAAGTGTTCTGGCTACTTGACATCATCAGAAGGCTATAGTGACATGACCTCAATTCCCCCCCGGGGAAGAGCCTCAGCCTCAGCCTCAGCCTCAGTCACTTCCACCTGCAACAGAGACCCAGGTGTCGGGTGTACTCCTGTACCTTAAGGAGGGCGATTTCCATGGCAACCTGATCTGGACGAAAGGAGAGAAGAAAGGAGAGACAGCACCTCCTGGTCTGTGTAAGAAGAGTGGAGCCTACCTCGGTGAAAGACTGTACCCAATCTATCTCATCTGAAATTACTGGAAGAACTGCCCCATTGTCTGTGAGGGAGGGGAAGGAACTGGGAGGTGTTACATACAAAAGGATGCCGGTATCTTTAGTCTGTGATCGATAGCTACCGCCAAGGGTCTTGTGAGGGACTGGAAGATGATGATACACATATGAATGGAATGCATGGCTATAAAGGAACATGTGCTGTTGTTACGTCACTGAAATGTATCAGTATGTTATACCTATGTCGCGTGTAAAAAGGCCAATGGTTGGTAACGTGTGCACGTGGGTTCCAGGTGCAGAGTGTGTTTTAAGAGCACAGGGAGGCTGTTCCCCCACTCTCCAGATGCTAGTTCCAACGACAGCTCCCACTTCAGTCAGTTCAGCAGCGACTCAGAGGGTAAGTCTATACTAACGTGCAGCCTATACAAAAATCTACACAGACTCTAAAGTCTACACACTGTGTACCTACAGTCTACACACATCCTATGTAATGCAATGGAGGTGGTTCGATGAACCACGCTTGGGTGATGAGTAACTTTGCCTGAGACTGGAATACTTATGTTAGCTCCTCAAGTTAATGCCTGGGCTTTAGCTCAGTGGGCTAACAGTATTGTGGCATGCAGGAGACCAGGGCTCAAACCCTGGTCGGTCACATAACTCCCTCTGCTCTCTCTGCCCCATGCTGCAGGTGATTGGGTGAGTGTGGAGGGCCGGTTCAAGGCTGTGTCTCTCACCTGTATGTCTAGCTCCTGTCCTCGCAGTCCCCTGGGGCTGTCCCCCTCAGCACACCTGGCCGATGGGACAGGTGACCTCATCATTGTACGGGACACACACCCCCTAGGGTTCCTCACCTTCCTACACAGACACACCAGCTCACAGGACCAGGTAAATCTAACCCTAACCCAGTGCCAGGTCAGGACCAGGTAACCCTAACCCAGTGCCAGGTCAGGACCAGGTAACCCTAACCCAGTGCCAGGTCAGGACCAGGTAACTCTAACCCAGTGCCAGGTCAGGACCAGGTAACTCTAACCCAGTGCCAGGTCAGGACCAGGTAACCCTAACTCAGTGCCAGGTCAGGTAACTCTAACCCAGTGCCAGGTCAGGACCAGGTAACTCAGTGCCAGGTCAGGACCAAGTAACCCTAACCCAGTGCCAGGTCAGGACCAGGTAACTCTAACTCAGTGCCAGGTCAGGACCAGGTAACTCTAACCCAGTGCCAGGTCAGGACCAGGTAACTCAGTGCCAGGTCAGGACCAGGTAACCCAAACCCAGTGCCAGGTCAGGACCAGGTAACCCTAACCCAGTACCAGGTCAGGACCAGGTAACTCTAACCCTAACTCAGTGCCAGGTCAGGACCAGGTAACTCTAACCCAGTGCCAGGTCAGGACCAGGTAACCCTAACCCAGTGCCAGGTCAGGACCAGGTAACTCTAACTCAGTGCCAGGTCAGGACCAGGTAACTCTAACCCAGTGCCAGGTCAGGACCAGGTAACTCAGTGCTAGGTCAGGACCAGGTAACCCTAACCCAGTGCCAGGTCAGGACCAGGTAACCCTAACCCAGTGCCAGGTCAGGACCAGGTAACTCTAACCCAGTGCCAGGTCAGGACCAGGTAACTGTAACCCAGTGCCAAGTCAGGACCAGGTAACTCTAACCCTAACTCAGTGCCAGATCAGGACCAGGTAACTCTAACCCAGTGCCAGGTCAGGACCAGGTAACTCAGTGCCAGGTCAGGACCAGGTAACCCTAACCCAGTACCAGGTCAGGACCAGGTAACCCTAACCCAGTGCCAGGTCAGGACCAGGTAACTCTAACCCAGTGCCAGGTCAGGACCAGTTAACTCTAACCCAGTGCCAGGTCAGGACCAGGTAACCCTAACCCAGTGCCAGGTCAGGACCAGGTAACCCTAACCCAGTGCCAGGTCAGGACCAGGTAACTCTAACCCAGTGCCAGGTCAGGACTAGGTAACTCTAACCCAGTGCCAGGTCAGGACCAGGTAACCCTAACCCAGTGCCAGGTCAGGACCAGGTAACTCTAACCCAGTGCCAGGTCAGGACCAGGTAACTCTAACCCAGTGCCAGGTCAGGACCAGGTAACTCTAACTCAGTGCCAGGTCAGGACCAGGTAACTCAGTGCCAGGTCAGGACCAGGTAACTCAGTGCCAGGTCAGGACCAGGTAACTCTAACCCAGTGCCAGGTCAGGACCAGGTAACTCAGTGCCAGGTCAGGACCAGGTAACTCTAACCCAGTGCCAGGTCAGGACCAGGTAACTCTAACCCAGTGCCAGGTCAGGACCAGGTAACTCAGTGCCAGGTCAGGACCAGGTAACTCAGTGCCAGGTCAGGACCAGGTAACTCTAACCCAGTGCCAGGTCAGGACCAGGTAACTCAGTGCCAGGTCAGGACCAGGTAACCCTAACCCAGTGCCAGGTCAGGACCAGGTAACTCTAACCCTAACCCAGTGCCAGGTCATTTTAATCCTAATCCTAACTCAAACCAACTTGAACCTAGGACTATGTAGGTACAACCTCCACAAGTACCTGGATAATAGGCCAAATTCTGAAGCCATATTGCTTGTTAGATTGCTATCGTATCATGTGGACTGGCGTGCCAGTTTCCAAGTATAACAGTATGGAAATATCTGTGGTCCGAGGAAGAAATACAGTACCAGTTAAAAGTTTGGACACACCTACTCATTCAAGAGTTTTTCTTTATTTTTACTATTTTCTACATTGTAGAATAATAGTGAAGACATCAAAACTATGAAAAAACACTAATGGAATCATGTAGTAACCAAAAAAGTGTTAAACAAATAAAAAAGTATGTTATATTTGAGATCCTCCAAAGTAGCCACCCTTTGCCTTGATGATAGCTTTGCACACTCTTGGCATTCTCTCAACCAGCTTCATGAGGAATGCTTTTCAAACAGTCTTGAAGGAGTTCCCACATATGCTGAGCACTTGTTGGCTTCACTCTGCGGTCCAACTCATCCCAAACCATCTCAATTGGGTTGAGGTCGGGTGATTGTGGAGGCGATCATCTGTTCACCTACTCTGCGTCTCACAAAGACACGGCGGTTGGAACCAAAAATCTCAAATTTGGACTCATCAGACCAAAGGACAGATTTCCACCGGTCTAATGCCCATTTCTTGTGTTTCTTGGCCCAAGCAAGTCTCTTCTTCTCATTGGTGTCCTTTAGTAGTGGTTTCTTTGCAGCAATTCAACCATGAAGGCCTGATTCACACAGTCTTCTCTGAACAGTTGATGTTGAGATGTGTCTGTTACTTGAACTCTATGAAGCATTTATTTGGGCTGCAAATGAACGTATCCTCTGCAGCAGAGGTAACTCTGGGTCTTCCTTTCCTGTGGCAGTCCTCATGAGAGCCAGTTTCATCGTAGCGCTTGATGGTTTTTGCGACTGCCCTTGAAGAAACCTTCAAAGTGCTTGACATTTTTCGGATTGACTGACCTTCACGTCTTAAAGTAATGATGGACTGTCGTTTCTCTTTGCTTATTTGAGCTGTTCTTGCCATAATATGGACTTGGTATTTTACCAAATAGGGCTATCTTCTACTTTGTCACAACACAACTGATTGGCTCAAACACATTAAGAAGGAAAGAAATTCCACAAATTAACTTCTAACAAGGCACACCTGTTAATTGAAATGCATTCCTGGTGACTACCTCATGAAGCTGATTGAGAGAATGCCAAGAGTGTGCAAAGCTGTCATCAAGGCAAAGGGTGGCTACTTTGAAGAATCTCAAATATAACATATATTTTGATTTGTTTAACACTTATTTGGTTACTACATGATTCCATATGTGCTATTTCATAGTTTTGATGTCTTCACTATTATTCTACAATGTAGAAAATAGTAAAAATAAAGAAAAACCCTGGAATGAGTAGGTGTGTCCAAACTTTTGACTGGTACTGTATGTGAACAATTGCTGATGGAGTAACATCTAGCTGCAGTACTAAAAGGCCTAAAATAAACATATTGTGATGGAAGGAAGAAGTTGCTACTGGATTTGATTGACAGTTTTTCGATAGTCGCTTTATGCATCTTCCCTTCTATCTTAGTTTGACCTGCCCTTCGTGGATGTCCACCGCGTGAAGGCAGTGCGTTTCTCTCTCCCGCCCGGAGAAAAGGAGGAAGAGAGGGGTGAAGAGAGGGAGACGGTAAATGATGGCGGGATGGTGGAAGAGGGAGAGACACCAAGCCAGAGCGGATCCCAACATCACCTGGTAGAAAGAGGAGAGGAGCGAGGGATGGCGAACGACAGGAGGAAGAAGAAAGACTTCTTGTGTGGCCTGTGCTGCAGTAAACCTTCAGTGTCCGTGTGGAACTGCGACGGAGAAATACTTCCTCACACTGAGATCCTCTGCAGGTAAGAGACATCTTATCACATTATGGAAATCAATGCTTACCTGACAGAGTTTCAGTGTACATTTAGTACTCTGCTTCAGACCCAACCTGAAGCCTCTAGTAACCTTTTCACACTACTGAGCTGAGCCAAGCTGTTCTGCTCTAGCCTGGTTACGCATTCACCATAATTGCTGAAATCGTGCTGGAAAGGAGAAATAAAATATTTGAGCCAGCACAGTAGTTAGACTTAGCATGATTGTGTGACATGTCAATGCTGCGTCTTCCTACTCTGTCCTCATCTGCCTTGTTGTCCCTCCCTCCTTTCTTCCTTCCCCTCCAGGGTTCATGGTCAGCTGGTACGTCTGTATGCCCGGGGCATGGAGGACGGATCAGCCACGCCCACCAGGAAGTGAACTGTGTTAGGGTCCATTCACTCTACTGACTGAGGAAGGCTGTGTTAGGGTCCGTTCACACTACTTGCAGAGAAAAACAATGCCAGGAAGGAAGACATGAATGATTCTAATCAATAATTCTGCCAGCTAGGACCAATTAAATGGCTTTCTCTCTGGTGTAGTTTTTTGTAGTGTGAACGGAGCCTTACTGTGATACTGAGGAGATGTATCTTTCATAACTGAAGAAGGCTGTATTACTGTCATGTGGTCAATGGTTACTGTACGAACCCCATGTAGGCTCAATGACAACGTATCAGTTAGTGGGTCATGAAGGATGTCTGTGGAAAGACTTATTTTTCTGACATGTGACTGTATCAACAGAATAACCAACAGAGCCTTACATTTCACATATCTGATGAAATGGTTACTGTAACTAACCCCCCAGTACATTAGGGTCAACATACAAGTTATTGGGACAATGGTCATGAATGATGTCTGAGTTTGGAAGGAGGTGTGACTGAATGTACCAACACAATACCCAAAAGAGCCTTCCATTTCACTTTATCTGCTTTCTCTCTTAACCAAATAAATAATTCCAGAATATGTAATATTTCAACAAGTCTTAAGATAGAGGCTTGAGGTAATTCAAGGAATATACACAGTGTTCAAAACATTAAGAACACCTGCTCTTTCCATGACATAGACTTATGGTATTTGCCTGTAAATGTGTATTTATGTTCATTTCAGCAGCTGATTTGCAGTTATGAAAATGTTGTACTTAATAAATGGACAGACCTTTTTATTAAGCAGAGTTTCGAGCTTTACACATTATTTCTTGTTTATGGCAGAAGGGACATTTACTCCCAGAAAGAAAGAGACACACCTGAGGCGTTAGTGGCTTTGTCTAGTGAGAACAGAAGAGTAGGTCAAACCTGTTGTTCTTGAACATTGAGACCATTCTCAAACCACAGTGACAGAGTTGATCCAAGAAAGGCAGATACATTCATTGCATGCAGTGCAATTTGATGAATCAGCTATTGTCATTGGGCACATTTGTTTTGCATCGTCCTTTGCCCCAGCTGGGCGGAGTTTGCACATTTTAGACGATTCCATTTGTCCTAAAGTGACATTTTCACCCACCCGGGGAACCGGGCGATGTAAAACGAGCACGCCCAATTTATATAGTGACACATTCATTCTGCTTCCTCTGGCCCTCCCAGCGGTAACAGTCTGCTGTCTGTGGGCTATGGAGTGACAGCAGGCTCAGAACTGGGCCATATACCTGGAGGGAAAGAAACAGGAAACAACATCAGTCAACTGCCAGTCTAGTGGAGCAACTTAAATTAGGCCCAGACCAGGCTAGGCTAGGACTGAGTGATACATAGGAATGTGCTTATGTAGATGCAAATATAATTAGTCAGGTTAAGAAAGTTTAGAATAATTTGGATGTTTTTAGTTGATTATCCTTACCTTGCTGGCTCAGGATTTTCCCTCTTACCTTCAGGGATCTCAATGCCTTCTAGACGACATTCTCACAGGAATTTACATCGTCAATCAAACAATCAGTGAAGTCAATAAATTATCAGGATTTATTTGGTCACAATCAATTTGGTTAGCCATGCTGCAATCAAACGTTGCATTAATCAAGTCCAGAAGTGTTTTCCATAATACTGATTTGTCGCCTGGTGGTTCAGATCTGTTTGTGCTTTAACCAACTCATCTGTGTTTGTTGGCTACAGCACATCCAGTACAGTAGGATACCATGTTAACTCAAATAGGAGAGAAGAGGGAATCAGTCAGGATTGTGAGAAATGCAGAGAGAAATACATTTTCTTCCATGCAGTATAAGTGAAATAAGCATCTGGAAAGAGTGGAGAGTAGCAAACACAAGTGAACTTTCACACAGTGTAATTGGTGTGTGTTTTGTGTGTCTGTGTCATGCAGTGTGGGGGTTGACCCACTTGTATGTTCCCTCGTAGCGGAATCCCACCCTCCTCACGAGCTCATCCGCTTCATTTGGACCACGACTGAGAGAGAGAGAGAGAGAGAGAGAGAGAGGGAGAGGGAGAGGGAGAGAGAGAGAGAGGATACGAAGGGAAGCGATGGACAGAATGTTGCATGTGTGGGGGGTCAAACATGGAAAAGAACTGGGACAGATAGAGGGTGGAGGAGGGTTAGATGGACATACGATGTGATGAAAGTAAGGTAGGATTAGTAGTATTACTTACCTTCCATAGCTGTAATGGATAGGAGGTGTTTTCTCTCCCTCTATGTGATGGAGGAGGGGAGTGAAGATCCTCCAGGCTTCCTGCAGCTCATCACTGGGAGAGGAAGAGGACCAGGAAACAGGGGAAATGTTATGATTTATACCACAGCGTTGATGAATACTAGTTTCTGATTGGCTAGAAGGGCGTTCTAGAATGGACATTAAAATGTGTGCTTTAGTATTGTTTTCTTTGTGCATTCAGAAATTGTTTTCTTTGGCAACTGTGGTATAAGTGGGATAAACGCCTCCGTTCTGTACATTTACCTTGGAAAAAATGAACTCCACAAAGGGACTTGGCTCTGCGTGGTCCCGCTGCGTTGTCCATTATTTCCAAGGTAATGTACAGAACGTCAGCGTTTATCCCTTATATATTTTGTCACAGTGATATAATCAGGTCTAATAGAAATGTTGCTTCTGTACATGAGAGATTATCAGTGTAGATTACATAGGGTTTCTCAGGCCATAGATAAGGGTCAGAGATAGTGTGGTGACTGAGACACAGGGTAAGAGACAGAGGCAGACACAAGTCAGGACATGTCAGCGGCACATCGCCACCCCTCGGAGCCTGGTTCCTCTCTAGGTTTCTTCCTAGGTTCCTGCCTTTCTAGGGAGTTTTTCCTAGCCAACATGCTTCTACATCTGCACTGTTTGCTGTTTGGGGTTTTACATTGGGTTTCTGTATAAGCACTTTGTGACAACTGCTGATGTAAAAATGCTTTATAAAATACATTTGAAATTTGAATTTAAGTGGGTGAGATAGTGACAGTCAGAGACAGACCTGCGGACAAAGTGCATCTGATTCCCACAGAACACATCCAGAATCAGACGCTCATATGCATCAGGGAGCTTCACGTCCTGTAGAGAGAACATGAGACTAGTTGTCATCTATTCTACACAGTATTATGTGTGTGTGTGTGTGTGTGTGTGTGTGTGTGTGTGTGTGTGTGTGTGTGTGTGTATACATCTTACCTTGTATCTGCTCCTGTAGGTGAGGTCCAGTTCAGTCTCCTCAGGGCTGAAGTAGACTCCAGGCTTCTTGGTCATCATCTTGAGGTAGATGGCCTCATCAGGCTGTACCCTGACCACCAGCTCATTCCTCTGGCACTGCTCATTAAAGATGTCCCCTGGAACGTCCGTGAACTGGAGACGCACTTCCGCCTTACGCTCGTTGAGGGCCTTACCGCAACGCAGGATGAACGGAACACCTGGGGGGTGGTGGATGAGGGGAGAGAGGGATGGGTGGATGGATGAGGGGAGAGGGGGATGGGTGGGTGGATGAGGGGAGAGGGATGGGTGGATAAATGAGGGGAGAGGGGGATGGGTGGGTGGATGGATGGGTGGGTGAGGGGAGAGAGGGATGGGTGGGTGGTTGCGGGGGGGAGAGAGAAAGAATAGAGAGAGGGTTGATGAGAAGGGAGGAGAGAGGGGGAGAGAAAGAGAGTGTGCATGAGAGTTATGATCGACCTTCCTGTTCAGGTGGAGTCATACCTGTACCAAGAAAAAACACAAACAAGACGAGTTGGAGAGTCTAGTAACAGAATAACTAGATAAGAGAGGGAGAGTTCAGGATTTTGAGAAATGCAGAGTATCAGGCTGACAATATGAGCTGTCGACAAAAAGCAAGATGAGTCTGGAAGATGTGTCTAAATCTGTCAACATGTCTAGATAAGGGACATAGGAGGAAAAGAGTTGGCCAGAATCCAAGATGGCCGTCAGTCCTTACCATCCCATCTCTCATTCTGTACGTAGAGCACAGCGGTGGCGAAGGTAGGCGTCCGGGAGCCGTTGGGCACGGTGGGGTCATCTATGTAACCCAGTCTGGCATGGCCCTCCCCCTCAGGGTCACCTATGTACTGACCCAGCACCACATCAGACAGAGGCACTGGGGCGATGCACTTCAACACCTTCACCTAGGGTTCACACACACACACACACACGTTTATAAGACAGAGGGAATGGCCATATAGTTTTATGTCACCTGTGTAAAAAGTGGGCCCAGAGTTTTTCCTGGTCAGCATGTCCATGGGAAAACTCCTGGCCCTAATAAAAAGTGCAAAGGAATAATCAAAGTGGAACACTGGTTGGTGATGCTACCTTCTCATCTCTCACGTCGTCAGGGCTGGTGGAGGCAGGCTTCTCCATGGCAACCAGAGAGAGCATCTGGAGGAGGTGGTTCTGCATGACATCACTAAAGCAGGAAGTAGGAAATATCACAAACCCATGGAACTGAACAACTCAATTATTTGTCACATGCTTTGTAAACAACAGGTGTAGACTAAGAATGAAATGCTTACTTACGGGCGCTTGCCAACAATACAGAGAAAGAAAAAAAAGATAAATAATAGAAAAATAGCTATATTCCACTACATTACCATAGAATAAGAGAACCACATCAAAATCTGAAAACAGTTGATCAAAGTTTTCCAGTGATTTATACTTTGGCATGGCATGACAGGCTATTGCAAATTCCACTCCTCCTCACCGGATGATGCCAAAGTCGTCAAAGTATCCTCCGCGTCCCTGTGTACCGAAGGGTTCTTTAAAGGTTAGAACCACACAGGCCACACTGTTCCTGTTCCAGATAGGGCCAAAGATACGGTTCCCAAACCTGATGGACAGAAAGACAGACGACAGGATCAAAACACAATGGTAAACTGTTCCTGTGTTGGTAAGAACATAGCACGCCACGGTTCTTTCAGTTCCCACAGGGATCACATACACATCCCTAACCTGTATGAACACACTTCATTGTAAATCGCTTTGGACAAAAGCATCTGCTTCATTGTGATGAATACTGTACAATACTTCATGAACAAAGAGGATATCAAATATATACATGTACTGTCTCCTGGGATCAGGACTCAAGCTCATCTCTGTACCTGAGGTTCTAACTTCATCTCTGTACCTGAGGACCATGAGCTTTTAACGTAATCTCTGTACCTGAGGACCATGAGGTTTTAACATCTCTGTACCTGAGGACCATGAGATTCTGCACCATCTCCTTGCCCAGGTAATGGTCTATGCGGTAGATCTGGTCTTCTCTGAATAGGGAGGAGAGGTGGGACGACAGCTCCTGAGAACTCTGCAAGTCACGACCAAACGGCTTCTCCACTATCACCCTGCTCCAACCTCTAACACACACACAGAGAGAAGGAGAAAGAACACTGTACAGTGTGGTACAGGGATGTGTGAGTGTGTTTGTGCATGTGTGTTTATGGGTTTTCTATCCTTGTGGGGACCAGAAATTCAGACTAGTCGGGACATTATGCTGGGCCCCACAATTGTATTTTCGTCCTCCCCCGTTTTTTCATTACAATGTGATACAAAAAGCAGAAATATTGTGCTATAGGACCATGTGGACGCCTCAGAGCGGTCGGGTAGGCTGTTGGGAGTGAACAGCTGGCTGGATTTAGGACCACGTGGACACTACAGAGGAGGCTGACAGGCTGTGTGAAGGCAAAGCTTCTGGAAGGCTGGCTAGATCCGCACAGGAGAGTTGAGCATAGTTCAGTGTGTATGTGTTGCGCTCTTTCACCGAGTTGTAAAAGGAAGCAGAGCAGAAACGGGCAACTCTTTGACTGATGTAGCTGGCAAGGTAACTGCTGTTTAACTCAATAGAAATAAAAAACGAGTGTTTATTTGTAGTACTGAGTTAGTATTGTAACTGACATGTAACTTTAGCTAATGTTTTATCCCCTCTTGACTGACGTGAATGAATAAGCTACGCTAGTGAGTAGCTACCACAGCCAGGTCAGCTCTAGCCTCTAGTTACCTGTCAGATAAGTTAGCGATATGAGGTGGCTATTTCTACTATCTAACAGCTGTTGTTTTGTATGGACATGTTTTGTAGCCTTTTTTCTGTCCCGTTTCAACAGAAGTAAATGAACTTGTCTAGCTTTCGCCAGTTGCTATATAGTTAGCGAGACAGCTGGCCAAAAGTTGGCAAACGTTAGCTATTATTTTTGCCTCAATCACACTAACTTAGACCTGAATCAAACGATGAAACCATCGGCCAAACAATTGAAGATTGATATTGTGACGTTTTTTCAGTGCAATGTGAGTTTCTATTAGTCAGTATGGCAATGTAATGTTATTGATCTGTCAGTTTCCCTAGTTAATTCCTTATTTTTCACACTGACACAGTAATAAACAGCTCTAACGTTACAGGCTTCACTGTCATGGTGCACAGTAGAGGTCTGCGCCGGACCGATTTCTTCATCCCGCTCCTGCCTGCACCTGTAGCTTTTCATTCCTCACCTGCTGGCTTTCTGTCCGACTCCCACCCGCTACCACCTGACTGCTTCTTTCCTAAATAGTTATTGCATAGTTTGGAGCTGTGCTTTGGGTCATTGTCCTGTTGGAGCCAATTTCCTCCTACAATCAAGCGCCGTCCACAGGGTATGGCATGGCGTTGCAAAATGGAGCGATAGCCATCCTTCTTCAAGATCCCTTTTACCCTGTACAAATCTCCCACTTTACCACCACCAAAGCACCCCCAGACCATCACATTGCCTCCACCATGCTTGACAGATGGCATCAAGCACTCCTCCAGCATCTTTTCATTTGGTCTGCGTCTCCCAAATGTTCTTCTTTGTGATCCAAACCCCTCAAACTTCGATTAGTCTGTCCATAACACTTTTTTTTCCAATCATCCTCTGTCTAGTGTCTGTGTTCTTTTGCCCATCTTAATTTTTATTTTTATTGGCCAGTCTGAGATATGGCTTTTTCTTTGCAACTCTGCCTAGAAGGTCAGCATCCCGGAGTCGCCTCTTCACTGTTGACATTGAGACTGGTGTTTTGCGGGTACTATTTAATGAAGCTGCTAGTTGAGGACCTGTGAGACGTCTGTTTCTCAAACTAGACACTCTAATGTATTTGTCCTCTTGCTCAGTTGTGCACCGGGGCCTCCCACTCCTCTTTCTATTCTGGTTAGAGCCAGTTTGCGCTGTTCTGTGAAGGGAGTAGTACACAGCGCTGTATGAGATCTTCAGTTTCTTGGCAATTTCTTGCATGGAATAGCCTTCATTTCTCAGAACAAGAATAGACTGACGAGTTTCAGAAGAAAGTTCTTTGTTTCTGGCCAATTTGATTCTGTAATCAAACCCACAATTGCTGATGCTCCAGATACTCAACTAGTCTCAAGAAGGCCAGTTTTATTGCTTATTTAATCAGCACAATAGTTTTCAGCTGTGCTAACATAATTGCAATAGGGTTTTCTAATGATCAATTAGCCTTTTAAAATGATAAACTTGGATTAGCAAACACAACATGCCATTGGAACACAGGACTGATGGTTGCGGATAATGGGCCTCTGTATGCATATGTAGATAATCCATTAAAAATCAGACGTTTCCAGCTACAATGGCCATTTACAACATTAACAATGTCTACACTGTATTTCTGATCAATTTGATGTTATTTTAATGGACAAAAAAAAGTGACCCCAAACTTTTGAACGGGCTAGATTAGCCAATATGCTAGATGTAGTTTGAAGAGAGCAGAGTTGGAGAGACGTGCACTTTCTCTCGAGCTATTTTTATAGCCTACGTTTTAGGAGTGGGAAGATTTCAGACAGAGAAATATGGGTGATTAATATTTAGGCCTTTCTAGGCAATGTAGTAAACTATAGCCTAATCATAGGCCTATTTAGGAAGTACATTTCCTTGAAAAGAGAACTGCCCCGTGCTTCTCTGCCCGTGCATAGGCTAAAGCCTACCCTATTTAATGGAGACCACACGCGCACCTAATCCCGAAGGTATGGCACTGAACTTGAAGCAGCAAGAATGATGACAGCGACACTTTTGCATAGACCTATAGGACCTTTTAGGAGGACGATTTGCAGGCAGAGACAAATAAATGGGTAATCAATACTAATTGATAATGAAAAGGCGCAGCACTCGCTCACCATAGCAGCCTAACCTATGTGCGCGTTGTGCCTTTTCCTTTTCAATGACGATTACATTTTTTGATTGCACTTCGACTCACGTTGGTTGAGCGCCCTCCACTTCTTTCCATTATCAAGATGTATTTACAGACATTGTACTAAACTACAGTCTAATCATATTTAAGTTAACTGCCACGTGATTCTCCGCCCATGTAGGCAGCCTTCTCTATTTCAATGAGACCACACATACTAAGCGCGCATGAACTCTCACGCCCAACCAGGAGAGGGAGGCTACTGAAGTTGATGCCGCGAATTCTGAGTGTGCTTTTAATACAATAGGTAGGCTAACTCATACAAAGCAGAAAGAGGACAGTTTCCAAATAATCTGTGGGACAACAAAAATAAAATATTTTCATCCCAAAGTCGTCTGTTTTACCGCAGCTCCCGCCCACAGACCGTGCCGCTTGAATGCTTTCCTCTAGTGCACGACACTATGCTCATCATGTCTTAGCAGGATCAGATGTTGACAGGGGTCCCAGCAGGGCCAGACAGCCAGGGAAGACCAGTCTACACAGCTCAGGTGAATGTTTCAGTATATTAACAATATCAGTGAATGATACAAAGTTCCATCTTGAATTGATGGGTAGACCTACAGTAGCTACAGGACAGCAGCTAAAGCTTAAAGCTATAGTCTGGGATCTGGGAATAATGGTCATTTCAATTATTGAACCATTGATTCTATTCTTGGATAATGTAATGTATGAATGTACACCAAGGTAATTCTTTGTCATGCCTCATTATAGGAGGATCAGATGGTAACAGGAGTCTCAGCAGGTTTAGGCAGCCAGGGAAGACCAGTCTGTGACAGAGGTGAGGTTAATTTTTGCAGCAAACACTGGACCAACCAGATGCTATTTTACGGCAGTCTGACAAACCTCCAAAGTGAATTTACAAACTGTATCAAAGGTTGATAGAGGCTTTTCCCGATGACATTGAACATATAAAACAAAAATGTGAGGAACACCTGGTAGAAGCTATTGATGATGAATGGATACAGATATGTTTGAATGCCCAGTCATGTTCATATAATCTCAGACATACATTACTGCAGTTTAAGACCATCCATAGAATGTACTATATGCCAGTGAAACTGAATATCATGCCCTCAGAAATGTTATTCTTCTGCTGGAGGTGTAAAACACAAAAGGGGACATATTTGCATATGTTATGGTCTTGTGAAGGATGGCTGAATTCTGGCAAAGAGTATGTAGAATGTAAAAAATGTAAATCTCAGCATGTCTACAGATTCTCCCTTCTACCTGTTTTTGTTTGCTTGGAAATGTTGATACCGGAGACTTATCTGAAGAAACTGTGTAACCAAGCATTTATAGCGGCTAAGAAATGCATGTCAAGTTATGTATCACTAGCTTTGATTTATTACCAGATTAAGGGTATACTGGGCAACTTTCATAAGGTCTGGATGCCTTATATGGAATTCAGTATGACTAAAGGAGTCTGTATTGAAAACATGCCCACGTCAGGGGAGATACCTATTTAGGCAATCCCTAGCTGCTGGGCTGCTCAGTCCTGGCCCTGGGGGTCTGCTGGGCTGCTCAGTCCTGGCCCTGGGTCTGGGGGTCTGCCGTACTGTGGGTTGTCTCTCTGGCCTTGGCCTAACACACCTGAACCCAATAAGGAATGTTTCACTAAGATCCTAAACCTGAGTGGGGTGTGTTAGGTTGGGGCGCTGCAGGGTGGTGGACCCCCTAAGGACAGGACGGGGCGACCCAGCTATATTGTGTGCAAGTAAGAACAGCTCTACAGTACTATTAGTCCTATGAAATTAATTATATGGAGGATTTGCTGTTTCTGTGTGTTCATATACATTTGAGGCGTATGTGTTTTTTTAGTGTGTTTTTTAAAACCTTGCCCTTGGGAACAAAAAAAATTAAAGGTGGGAGCTGGGAATTAACTTGTGTTGGGAGAGAGTTGTTGTTGTTATTGACTAGACTGGTGGGGGTCAGGCTTTCAGGCGGCTCGGGCTGGCTGAAATTTGATATAGAGGATGTCTTAATAAAGACAATCAAAAGTCTGTATTTTTTCCAAGACTTGTTCATTTGTTAGGCTATTGGTTAAAGGTGCAATATCTATTATTGAATTACCTTTGATCTAGTTCAGTCTTATCAATCACTTCAACATATTTAATAATGATCTCTTACCTAGCTTGATGACTGGGGGCATTTTTGTTTTTCTAAATAGAGACGGTGAGAAGAGCCATGGGTCATATTAGATTGTGTAGAAATACAGGACATTACTTTTAGATGGCCCAAAAGATTCTGGGGGAGGACCCCCCAGACCCCTCGCCAGGTTATGTACCCTCCCCCCCCCCCCTTCTAAAACCAGTGGCGCCCCTGATTTTAGGCTTAGGGGTTAGGTTTAGGATTAGAATTACAGTTAGGTGTTAGGAGTTAGGGTTATGTTATGGGTTAGGGAAAATAGTAAAATGATAGTAAAACAAGTGTGTGTGTATATGTGTGTTCATGCATGCATATGTATACGCATGCATGCGTGCTTGAGTGATCTGACAAGTGTGTTTGAGACACTGACTTGCGGCACATGCAGTGGGCTCTGATGTTCTTGCTAACATGATGGTAGACGCTGGGGGGCAGTGCCAGGTAGAAGACACAGTTAGCATGGTCAGCCCCCCTGCTGGTGGTCAGGGAGCTCAGGTGGGCATTCAGCTCAGAGAAGGAGTCCTCCTCATCATAACTGCCGCTCAGGTAAGAGTTCCTACTGAAGAAAGCAGCGAGGTGCTCACTCTCACCATCACCAACCTGAGAAAACACACATGAATGATTACAACAGAATACCTATCCACAGTCTTTTCACTGTAATGAGGACGAACATGTACATCTAGGTCGACCACATGACCTGGATTGTGCGGGACAGTCACACATTTTGCCCCTTTGCCACCCTTCCCACAAAGAAACAATCATGTCCCGCATTTTATCAACAAATTCAAGCACCACTAATTTAGGAAAAATAGGTTGATTTGTCCCTTATTTCAGGGCTCGCCAAAATCTGCCCAGAATAAGCCAGATGTGTTTTTATGTGAATAATATGCAGACCTAAGCTTGTCACTTGCCTTCCCGCCTTCGGGACAAAGACTCCCATTGGGCGGAGTCATGAGCATCTCCTCATCATATACAGATCTCTGGTTTCAGCCTCGCGAATTGGAAAGGAAAGTTGGGGGGTGCACAGTGCACTGTTAGGATGCTGGATTGCCCTAAAGTAATGTTTCGCCAAAATTATATAATTACTCCTGTCTAAATCAAATCATTCAAAATACTTCACAGGGAGCATGTCTTAGCCACAGAGGATCATTATTTAACATCCATTGCGAATGACAGTTCCTCAGTATTTGAAAAAATCTTTCCAACACTCCCGGCCTCGATAATCACCAAGCCTCGGTGTGAAAGAGAAAAAATATCATGATCCCATATTTCCAGTGGAAACGTCATAAAACAAACATATGTCTGTCCCCAGCTCACTGGTGCAGGAAACTACTGTACGAGGGACTGGAATAGGCGATACAATGTTGCAAGTTCGCTAGCAACAGCTTTGGGCCGGACAGTTATAATTTGATACAATGTTGCAAGTTCGCTAGCAACAGCTTTGGGCCGGACACAGTTATAATTTGATACAATGTTGCAAGTTCGCTAGTAACAGCTTTGGGCCGGACACAGTTATAATTTGATACAATGTTGCAATTCAATAGCAATAGCTCAAGTCAATACAGATATAAAGGGAGGCAGACAGGCGTAGTAGAGAGATGACTGATTGAAAGAACCGGAATTTATCAGGAACTTTTCTACCGATTTTATTTGTCGACTTTAGGCCTTTTGTTGGGTTCTATTTTCTAAATAATTGAATTGATGGGATGACTAACTTAGAAAGAATGCATTCTTGACTGGGCTAATGTAGGTTGTGACACCTGGCAAGCTGTGATTGATGTGAATAGCTGTTTTAGGGGGTAAAGTGAGATAGGGATTGTGTCTCCAGATGCTGGAATATACTGGTTCTTTGTGATCTGTGAGCCTTCCTTGGACGTAGGAATGGTGTCTAAGGGAGCTGGCTCTTCTCACTATGACAGGTTGTTATGATATGGACATATGCCTGGTAACAGAGATGCATCAACGGATTGACTGAGTAAGTCTAAACCACGCTCAAGTTTGAGTTTGAGTTTGAGTTTATTTTTACAGGGACAGTGCACATTAATCAACGTTTCAGTAAAAGTGCCGGTTTTAGCCAGCCGGCTAATTTTCAACCGCAGTCCCTGGGCAGATTATTAAAAACAATTACAATATAGACTATAACAACATAGAACAAGACATAGCATACAGACATAGCAACATAGGACAAGCAAGACGTAGCATACAGACAGAGCAACATAGAACAAAAAGCAGCAAGACAAAATTCATAAAAGCAACAAAGTGTTTCCACACCTCACAAGTTACAGACAACAGACATGGAAAGCGGCAACACACAGCTAGGGACCATGTTCACAAATCTGATTGACCTTTAGCCATGTCTTCAAGCATTTTGTGAAAGTGTGATATGTGGTGCAGTTATGTGTGTCTGATGGCAGTGTATTCCAGACATGGGAAGCTCTCACAGAAAAAGCGGATTTACTAAAGGTGCTTTTCCTTAGGGGAACTACACAGTCACCTCTCATGGCAGACCTTGTGGATCTGCTGCCATATGTTTGGGTTTTCTGTTTAACAAAAATACTGAGTGGAGGGGGAGCCAAGCCATTTAGGATCTTGAATACAAGACATGCATCGGTGTATTGCACAAGATTTTCCCAACTCAGGAGCTCATGCTTTCTAAGGATGTGACAGTGATGATGGCTATTGGGCTTCCTATCAAGCACTTTGAGAGCCTGTTTGTAGACAGACTGAATAGGTCTTACTGTTGTACAGCAAGCTTGGGCCCAACTAGCCAAACAGTATGTTAAGTGGGGGAGTATCATAGATTTGAAGTACAGTTTTGCTACCTCTGTAGTCAAACAATTTCGTATAAATCGGAAATTAGCTAGGTTGAATTTGGTTATTTGAATTACCTTTTTCACATGCTTTTTAAAAGAGAGGTTGGAATCAAGTATGATGCCAAGGTACTTAAAATCAGATACCCCCTGGAGCTTCTCCCCTGACACATAGACTTCTGGCTCAGTAGCATCTGTTGCCCTCTTTGTGAAGAACATGCAAACAGTTTTTTTCACATTGAGATGCAAACACGAGTCACTGAGCCACTTTGTAACCTGGACCATTACAGTAGTGAGTTCTTGTGCAGCTTGTTGTTTGCTCTTTGCATGCACATATATCACTGTATCATCTGCATACATTTGAACTTCAGACCCAGTACAGACAGAAGGCAGATCATTAATGTACAGGCTGAACAGGAGGGGCCCCAGTATTGACCCTTGGGGCACACCCACATCATAGCTAAGAGTGGGCGACAGCTCATTGCTCACTCTGACACACTGAGTTCTGCCTTCAAGGTATGATTTCATCCATCTCAAGGCATCGGGGGAAAAGTTGAACTTAGACAATTTTGAGATGAGAATCTCATGGTTAACAGTATCAAAAGCCTTCCTTAGGTCCAGAAACACAGCCCCAACAACGCCCCCTTTGTCCATCTTGGACTTCACATTTTCCAGAAAAAAGCAGTTGGCCATTTCTGTGGAGTGTTTCGCTCTGAAGCCAAACTGCATGCAATGTAATGTGAAGGGGCTGTTGTTGAGGTGGGCAATCAGTTGTTCTGCTACACACTTTTCAACAACCTTTGACACCACAGGTAGTATACTAATGGGCCTGTAGTTACTCACGTCAGCAGGGTCGCCTGATTTAAAGATGGCCGTTATTATGGCCGACTTCCATACCCTTGGAAACACCCCGAGACCAATAGATGTGTTGGTGACCTTAGTAATGGGGCCATTGAGTGACTCTTTGTAGTTTTTAAGAAAGGTAGAGTCCATCCCAAACACATCTTTGGCTTTAGAGTTCTTTAGTGAGCTAATCACCTTGTCTACCTTTGACTCAGAAACCTCCCTTATGATGAAGACAGGTTGAGCATCATTTACTAGCACTGAGCCCAAGAAACCAGTGGAGGGGTTCTGTGTCAGTACCCTGACAGAGTCAATAAAGTAGGAATTGAAGGCTATTGCTATTTCGACTGCATCCTGTGTTAGATTGTTATTCACCATGATTTCTAGTCTTTTTGCAGTGTTACTATGGTCTTTCCCTGTTAACTTTTTTAGATTCTCCCAGATCAGTTTAGAATTTCCCTTTGCTTCACCAATTATGTTAATAAAAAAGTTTGCCTTGGCCTGTCTGATTTCTTTCATCACCTTATTTCTCAACATGGTAAACCTACGTCTGTCATGCTCTAATTTGGATCTTAGGGCTATTTTTAGATAATAATCTCGTTCTTTCATCAATTTCCAGATTTCTCCATTTAGCCAAGGAAGAGTGTTCTTTTGGCCAGGTTTGGATTTGATTTTCTTTAGGAAACCAGTTAATGTAGTCTGGATTGTGGATAGAAAAACTTGACTATCAGCTTCCACGTCTGCATAGGACAAGAGATCATTCCAGTTAATTCCCTTAATTGCATTTTCAAAATAGCTTAATTCACTCTTAGGTATTCTTAGTTGATCAGGCTTTCTAACAGTAGAGAGGTTAAACCTGCTCTTAGACAGCTTTCTGGCTATAAGTGTCAGATTATGATCAGATAGCCCAGTAACCATATTGAATGATTTAGTCACTCTCTCTGGTTTATTACTGAACACCAAATCAATCTGTGTTTTAGAGCAACAAGTCACCCTGGTTGGCCTTTTAACTAGCTGTGTAAGGTCAAAGGTATTAGTGATCCGTTTGAGGGTTTTCCTACAACACTTGTCTTCATAATTAATGTTAAAATCTCCCATTAAGATGACCTCTTTCCCAAAATCACATTCCCTAAGCATGTTATTAAACTGATCAAAAAACACACTTTTGGTGGAAGGTGGCCTATACATTCCAATGAGGGTAAAAGACATTTGGGGAGACAGTGTAATGTTCAGGCCAATACATTCTAGTTCATTATCACCTGACCACTCAATTTGTTTACATCGGATATGTTCTTTAATATAAATCATCACACCCCCTCCTCTTCCTTCAGTCCTGTCTCTCCTGAAAACATTGTAGCCAGGCACAATCAAAGCAGCAGATGGAGAGTTTCTATGGAGCCATGTCTCTGAGAGGCAGAGAAAGTCAAGGTTGGAGTCTGTGAGTAGATGTTGAATTTGATCACTTTTTGGAATGACACTACGAATGTTCAAGTGCCCCCCTAGTAGTCCCTTGGGCTTAGCTCGTGGGTCCCAGATGACTCGAGAGTGATTGACACATTGAAAAAAGTTAAATTTTCTGTGTTTTCTGACGGCTGGGTTTAGGCCGTTTTGTTTCGTTTTGATTAGGGGCAGTTCGGTAGCGCAATTAACAATCCCTCCCGCCTGCACTGGATGCGGGAAACTAATTAAAACAGCTTGCATACCAGAAGCAGAGTCGGGGATCGCATATAGCGACTTTGGTATGTTTGAAGAGTCAAAATCCATCCTGGAGCCGGGTGAGTCGAGAGAAACCACAGGACCATAGCACTCACCCACCTCCACAGCGGCGACGATCAGTGGACGAGGCCATCCACCACCCTCCACTCCGGTGCGTATCGCTGGCTCGGTGATGTTGGGCCCAGGATTGAGTTGCACATCCCCGGAGAGCAGGAGGGTAGTGAACAGGTAGTTTAACAGTTTCCGATAAATGTTGGACTTGTGTTTGTTGCGCCTAAGCGGTTCAGTAGAATAAGGAGCGAGGTAGACTTGGCCATTATTCAGAACATTATGGTATGCTGTGTACTGTCCGCTCCCGTGGAACGGTGAACCAATGTGTTTGTGTTTGGTGTTAATATTCTCCGGTAGTAGACTGATTGTGTCATCCCAGCAAGGACGCACTGAGATTATCAGTAGAGCAGCTACATAACTGACAATCATGGCAGAGTACTGGAGATAAAACACATAATTGCGCTTTAACTCTTTGCATGAGTTACTTAGCTGGGGTCGGCGTACACCTGATGGTTTAGATAAAATTACAGCATTCGAATGAGAAGCGGCACCTGCCACACCACCCTGTCTTCCATCCGCCATTTTGCGAATACCTTGATAACAGCTTTGCAAGTCTCTACTCTAATTGGTCAGCAGAGAGGTGGGAAACTCCCTCTGTCAGAGTATTTGAGCAAGAACCCAGAACAATGGGTTAGTTCTCTGGGGTGCCCTGCGAGGTATTTCAGAGAGCCCGTATATACGAAACATCATATTTACCATTGAAGGTTTTTGCATTAATTAAAATAACTAGTATATCTTAGAAGTCGTGTTGACCTCTTTTGTTCCTAATACCAGATTTGAATTGACGCGACTTTGACACTTTGTATTTTACTTAGTTGAGTCATGCTCCCTGGTGAAATATTTCGAATGACTTTATTTAGACAGGAGTAAGTATATAATTTTGCCGAAACATCAATTTACTTTAGGGCAATCCAGCATCCTAACAGTGCACTGTGCACCCGCTAACTTTACTTTCCAATTCGCAAGAGGCTGAAACCAGAGATCTGTATACACATTTGCACCCTAACAATGTGAGTTTTTGTCCCAAAGGCGGGAAGGCAGGCGACAAGTTTAGGTCTGCATATTATTCCCATAGAAACGCATCTGATTTATTCTGGGCAGATTTTTGCGAGAGTGAGCCCTCTCACTTCGCCTCTTCCTCTCTGCTGAAATTATATCACTGGAGAAAGCATTTGAGCGGGCGAAACAGCGCCTCACTATATGTAGTCCATGTATCTGATGCGGTCTGGCCAGAAATAGTATGACATGCCATACTCTTTTGGTCCAGACAGCATCAGATACATGGTCTACACATACTGAGACAGAGGGGCGCTGTTTCACTCGATCGGATGCTTTATCTGAGATTGATGTGTCTTTCTGTCGGCGCTCGTCCCAGTCAAATAAATGATCAATATTTCAATATTTTATTTGACGGGCAAGGAGGTACAGTAGGGCGGGACAGGACCCATAAGTCCTGCCCATAACGCCGACCCTGCCTCATAACGGTTTTACGTTCCCTGAGACCAACCAGAAATGTTTCCTTGGCCAAATATTACAAGATTTTGTGTATCACCAAATTTTGCGCGAGGCAAAAATAGGCTAGGTGAGCTTCAACTCCGTGCAGCAGACAGCAGGGATCCGGAGCGCACAGAGCGTCGCTCCTCCACTTCTCACAATGGTGCTCGTTTAGTAGGCTAAAGCTAACGCTAGATCAAAGCTGAATCAATGTCTTGGAAGATCACATAATGATTAATTAGTATTCCACATAACCAAATGTAATAGCATAGTAGAACGTTACTGTTACACCAAAAACACTACCTAATTTCCACATTTAAACATCTAATGCGGCCAAAACTGGTCACCCTATGTACATCCCCCAATAACCTCAATGACAAACCACTGTGTCAAGGCAGTTTCACATGCCCATAGACTTTCAATGGTGAAGCTACCAAAAGCTAAACGATTTTGATCAAAAGTTAGCAGAACCGAGTTGCCTGCACTCAGCCTATACTAAGACTCCTTACCTTCATATGTGGCAGACATGCTGTCCTGATGTCCTCCATGGTCAGTTTGGAGCGAGCAAAGCCCACAAAGTGGGTCTCTTCTGGGAGAAGCCCATCTCTGAACAGCCACCTATAAGAGGAGGACCGAACCATGAGATGCAGAGTAAAGAGACAGAGACACAGACAGGACACTCATTCTGCTCCCTGGAGACATGATGACCTAGAACACTGGTCAAGGAGCAGATCCCCCCCCCCCCCTCCCCCTAAACTCCTAGCATAATGAATAGAAACTTGAGATGACAAACCTGAGCCTTGAACAGTCATTCTGATGTTTCAGGGACTGTGGACATAGACAGGCACATAATCCGGCAACAGAAAACAGGAAACTCACTCACCATAGTGTAGGATAGATCTTCTTCTTGGCAAGATCTCCCTGAATGGATAGATAAAATAAAGTATTTGAGAGACTAAAATGTGCCTATAACCTTATGGTTGATTACTCTTGTTTTTATTAGTTCCTGTTTCTATGAACTCATGGTACAGTACAGGGCAGTTCAAGATCCAACCTATACAGTACCGACCTACTGTCCCCAAGTCCAGAACAGACTATGGGAGGTGCACAGTACTACATAGAGCCATGACTACATGGAACTCTATTCCACATCAGGTAACTGATGCAAGCAGTAGAATCAGATTTTAAAAACCATAAAAATACACCTTATGGAACAGTGGGGACTGTGAAGCAACACAAACATAGGCACAGACATGCATACACACACACATGAAAACATACGCACTATACACACACGTACATATGGATTTTGTGTTGTAGATATGTGGTAGTGGAGTAGGGGCCTGAGGGCACACAGTGTGTTGTGAAATCTGTTATGAATGTATTGTAATGTTTTAAAAATTTTATTGCCTTGGCAGCAGCTAATGGGGATCCATAATAAATACAAATACTGGAGTAAAACTTTAAACTGACCTAGTCAATGTGGGGCATGGTGTGAGTAACAGATATGTGGGTCATTTAAACACAACATTGAATAACAGGAAGACAAACAACACTGCAGAACAGCCATTTTGAAAAGTAACTTTTTAACACACTCAACTGTAGTGAAGGGGGATAGTGATTTGTGATAGGCATATAGTCAACTCACGGAAGTGGACAAACATTTTAAGCCCTAAAATTCTCTCTCTCTTTCAGCGCTAGATAAAGAAAAGGCAGATGCAGCACATTTCAGTCAGCGTGTGCTCCTCTCCCCTCTCCCCTCTCCCCCCTTCCCCCTCTCCTCCTCTCTTCCCCCTCCTCCTCTCTTCCCCCACTCACACACACACACACACACACACACACACACACACACACACACACACACACAATTGACCCCATGTTTGGACTTCAAACCAGATGGAACTATAGATAAAGAGAGGCACTCCCAAGAGATATACAACCAATTTGTAAATAGCTCTGGATTAGAGCGCCTGCTAAATGACTTAAATGTAAATGTAAATATACTAGCTGGGTAATTAGAACAAGCAAGACTCCACGTTTCCATAACTCACACAGCAGCCTAATCAGTAGTGTAACTACTGAGTTGTTAGGTCAAGTGGTTGATCTTAAAGCAAATCTCAAAGGAACTCACTCTTATCCCACAGTGAAGCAGTGCAACAAATCAGTAACTTCCTTTTAAATACTGTAGAACCATGGCTATTGGCTGTGCTTCAACATTCACACTAGAACACTTCCAGCAATGAAGCAGTATACTGGTAGTATGCTGTCTAAGACGTGGTATTCTAGTATGAACATTGGAATGTACTCTATGTATCCCATGTCTCTGCACTTGTAGAACAGAATTGTACAGAACATACCACAGGGAAAAGATGGACTACTACTTAGCCTGAGTGCCAGTCTGTTTGTGCTATCATACCAACTCATTGTCACTCACTGTCATGCCAAACATGTTAGGGAGAGCACAAACAGGGTAACTACTACAGTACTCACTGAGGCTCCCAGTATGATGAAAATGTGCGAGTCAGATGAATGGGACAGCTCTCTCCTCAGCTGACCAAATACCTCAGAATGGGTGAGACGCTCAGGAACACCACTCATCTTCGCCATCTGGTGTGTTGTCTCTGTATGTCAAGCTTGGATCCCTCTCTGCTGCTGAAAGACAGCAAGACATACAACAATAGCAAAAAGGAAGATGTTGGAGTCAGTCTTTGTGTGTGAACTTACCCTCTGTGTTGTGTTGTCTCGTTCACTCACAAAGGGTCCAGGTCCAGCCAGTAACAGAACAGTGGAGTGTGTGTGAGGTAGGATAAAAATGTAACTCATCGTTGCATAGTAGAAATATTCAGCAATGCATTGCTGCCACCTATTGTTGCAAATAAATAATGTCTAAATGTGATATGTATAGGAGAAAGGTGATTAGGCATCAGGATATATGATAAACAGAGTATGATGATTGTATGCGAGTGTGTGTGTGCGCGTGTTATGTGTATGTGTGAGCAAATTAAGTGTGTGAGTTGGAGTGTCAATGTGAGTGTGTAGAGTCCTGTGAGTGTGCATAGAGTCAGTGCAAAAATAAAAGGGTTGATGCAAGGCATGTGACATAGGCAAGGCATGAAAGACAACTCCCCACATTAGCTGCATCTCCACATTCCAACAGACCAGGGCCCGATTTCCCGATAGCGATGGAACTCAGGCTTACGACTGTTTTAACGATGCATCTTTCCTACAACACCACAGAGAGAGAACGTTCGCTAAGTGCATCATTGAGGCATAGATTTGATACTGTTAGGATGGAAAGAAACGCAGCGCTGCTCTCGGGTCAGCTTTCTCCACTCAGATCTTACCTTAACATTATAATTATTCCACAATACTGACGACGTATCAGCCCCTAGAGAGATATCACCTATGGCTGCAAATATTGAGGCGTCTTCTTCTAACGCTTACCCTATAATAATGCACTAAATCAAGATTTGGCATGTTAGGCTACACATGAAATACTGAGTATACAAAACATTAAGGATACGTGTTCTTTCCATGACAGACTAACCAGGTGTCCAGGTGAAAGCTATGATCCCTTATTAATGTCACTTGTTAAATCCACTTCAAATCAGTGTAGATGAAGGGTAGGAGACAGGTTAAAGGAGTTTTAAGCTTTGAGACAATTGAGACATGGATTGTGTATGTGTGACATTCAGAGGGTGAATGGGCAAGACAAAATATTTAAGTGCCTTTGAAGGGGGTATGGTAGTAGGTGCCAGGCGCACCGGTTTGCGTCAAGAACTGCAACGTTGCTGGGTTTTTCACGTTCAACCGTTTCCCGGGTGTATCAGGAATGATTCACCACCCAAAGGGCATCCAGTCAACTTGACACAACTGTGGGAAGGATTGGAGTCAAAATGGGCCAGCATCCCTGTGGAACGCTTGACACCTTGTAGAGTCCATGTCCAGACCAATTGAGGCGGATTTGAGGGGGCAACTCAATATGAGGAAGGTGTTCTTAATGTTTTGTCTTAATATACACAGTTTACAAAACATTTGGTAGTAGACAAATAGCAAAATAAAACAATTAAATGAACATGAAATTGATTTCAATATCATTGAAAGGTAAGAATTGAATGGAGAAAGCTGACCTGAGCACTTCCTTTCGATCCTATCAATATCGACACTTGAGCCAACAACGCAGTTAGTGACCGTTTTCTCTGCGTGGTATTTTGGGCAACGCATGTTACATCTTCGGCGGTTGTAGGAAAGATGCAATGTTGAAATACTCGTAAGCCTAAATTCCATCGCTATCGGGAAACCGGGCCCTGGTTTGACAACCCTCAGCCACAGGCTGGAGCCGAGGCTAGCCAACACTCAACTTTCATTTCCAAATATAAATAAATGCCATGTTTTGTGTTAAACTTTCTCAAGATTAGTCAGTCTAACACACGTTCATTTTCTTAGTATTCTTTAACTTAGAACTTGTCTAAGTTATAATTCATTTAAGGAATGACCTTAAGAGTCCGAAACCACTCCTTGCACAAACATTGTTGCGCAAACAAATTGTGCGAGCAAGATATATTTATCATTAACTAGCCTATTCAACAGCTCACTCGGTCACAAGGAGCAAGGTTTATTATTGTAGGAAATCTTACGTCCCAAATGGCACCCTATTGCCTACATAGTGCACTGCTTTTGACCAGATCCCTACAGGTCCTCGTCAAAAGTAATTCACTATAGTGAATGGTGTAGCATTTGGGACTCACCGAAAGTCTCTTATCAGCGTGTGGGTTCTGATATGGTCCCGGTTCTTATTTCCAGCGTAATAAAGTTGAACTGGAATCAAACAGTATGAATGTCACATAGGAACGGACACAAGACCAGAGCATGATATTCAGCATCCATTAGTTACCTCGCCAGACAATTTAAATAATAGCATTGTGTTTTGAATATACAGTACGTTCAGTTCATGCCACATGTAAAGTAGTACATAACCAGAAACAAAACAACAAAGAACTAGAGACAGTCTGGTAGAAACCAACCAAGCATCACATAGGTAAACAGTGTTGGAAAGCCATGTTATCAAATGCTGGCTGTAATACACAATCTTCTTGTTTTTATTAATTTCAGGTGGCCAAACAAAGGGTGAAGTTTACAAGTCTTATTGAATGCATGATGTTAATAAAAATAAAACAAGATTCAAACTCAATTAAAAAACCCAAAAAGTACTCATTCAATTTCCATTCCTTCATATGTTTATAGGAATATTTATCATGATTTAGAATATCTCTCCCCCCTCCTCTTCTTTTTACACCTCTCCCTTTGGCAGATATTTGCATTGTCACAGCAACAACATTCATGTCTACATGAATTCCCTGACAAACATACTGTAAGTTAAACACAAACAAAACAAATATAAAAAATCTGGAGTATAAAGAGAAGGAACTTCTGTGTTAAGGTACTAGTGGTCTGTGATGGACCTCTCCCTACCATATTAGCTGAGTTGAGGATATAGGCGCCTGCCAGTTCAGGGTCATGTTCAGTAGGGTATACCGTAGCAAAATGTTTTGCAACAAAAAATTAAAATCTGTTCTCATTGGACAAGTTCAGGTAGGAATGGACCTCCCAGTTTCACTCTGCTTCAAAACATTTTCTCCCTACTGAACACAACCCAGGCTGCAGTATTAATTCACACCCTCCACAAGAAGGAACCAGACCACCTCCAACCTTCATTCCTGAGTCTCCATCATAAATATAGTTAAAACAGTCAGAGGTTAAATCCTGAGCGCCTTCACATAGGTATGCAGTACTCCATGTTCTACTAGTCCACTCCTCTCAGGTCAGCAATTTTCTGTTCTCCAGTGGCATATGGTCCTGTCCTGTTGTCCTCAGCTGGAACTGGCCCTTCCTGCTTGACCCTGAGTCTATGGGAGGATGGGCTGGTAGAGGGGTCAAGGTCCAGTACAAGCTTCAGTTCTGGTTAAGGTCAGGGGTTAAAGTTCAGGGAGGTCAACTGAATGTCCAGTGCTGGTTGAGATCAGCTGCGTTGCAGTAGTACATCACTATCTGGCTCCCTATCAGGAGTAAGCACTTTCCACTGGCTGGGTTCTGGAGGAGATTCTCCTGGAGAGGGCAGAGAGTTAACTACAGAGTTAGACCATGTACTGCAGCTATGTCATCACTCTACACCTAATCTCTTTTGCGTTTTGACAGAATGTTAACAGATAGTTACCTAAGCAGATGAAATGTATTTCATTATCCACATGATTGGCAAAAGCACTCTTCAAGAATGAGTCTAAAATGTCCCTCCACCCAGCATATATACATATACGTGTGTGTGTGTTTGTCTACACACACAAAGGTAAGTAAGCATTTCACGGTAATGTCTACACCTGTTGTATTCGGCGCATGTGGCAAATAACATTTGATTTGATACACATATACACTACCGTTCAAAAGTTTGGGGTCACTTAGAAATGTCCTTGTTTTTGAAAGAAAAGCAATTTTTTTGTCCATTAAAATAACATCAAATTGATCAGAAATACAGTGTAGACATTGTTAATGTTGTAAATGGCTATTGTAGCTGGAGACGGCTGATTTTTAATGGAATATCTACATAGGCGTACCGAGGCCCATTATCAGTAACCATCAGTCCTGTGTTCCAATGGTACGTTGTGTTTGCTAATCCAAGTTTATCATTTTAAAAAGGCTAATTGATCATTAGAAAACACTTTTGCAGTTATGTTAGCACAGCTGAAAACTGTTGTGCTGATTAAAGAAGCAATAAAACTGGCCTTCTTGAGACTAGTTGAGTATCTGGAGCATCAGCAATTGTGGGTTCGATTACAGGCTCAAAATGGCCAGAAACAAATAACTTTCTTCTGAAACTCGTCAGTCTATTCTTGTTCTGAGAAATAAAGGCTATTCCATGCGAGAAATTGCCAAGAAACTGAAGATCTCGTACAACGCTGTGTACTACTCCCTTCACAGAACAGCGCAAACTGGCTCTAACCAGAATAGAAAGAGGAGTGGGAGGCCCCGGTGCACAACTGAGCAAGAGGACAAATACATTAGAGTGTCTAGTTTGAGAAACAGGCGCCTCACAGGTCCTCAACTGGCAGCTTCATTAAATAGTACCCGCAAAACACCAGTCTCAATGTCAACAGTGAAGAGGCGACTCCGGGATGCTGACCTTCTAGGCAGAGTTGCAAAGAAAAAGCCATATCTCAGACTGGCCAATAAAAATAAAAATTAAGATGGGCAAAAGAACACAGACACTAGACAGAGGAAGATTGGAAAAAAGTGTTATGGACAGACAAATCGAAGTTTGAGGGGTTCGGATCACAAAGAAGAACATATGTGAGACGCACACCAAATGAAAAGATGCTGGAGGAGTGCTTGATGCCATCTGTCAAGCATGGTGGAGGCAATGTGATGGTCTGGGGGTGCTTTGGTGGTGGTGAAGTGGGATATTTGTACAGGGTAAAAGGGATCTTGAAGAAGGAAGGCCATCACTCCATTTTGCAACGCCATACCCTGTGGACGGTGCTTGATTGGAGCCAATTTCCTCCTACAACAGGACAATGACCCAAAGCACAGCTCCAAACTATGCAATAACTATTTAGGGAAGAAGCAGTCAGCTGGTATTCTGTCTATAATGGAGTGGCCAGCACAGTCACTGGATCGCAACCCTATTGAGCTGTTGTGGGAGCAGTTTGAACGTATGGTACGTAAGAAGTGCCCATCAATCCAATCCAACTTGTGGGGAGGTGCTTCAGGAAGCATGGGGTGAAATCTCTTCAGATTACCTCAACAAATTGACAACTAGAATGCCAAAGGTCTGCAAGGCTGTAATTGCTGCAAATGGAGGATTCTTTGACGAAAGCAAAGTTTGAAGGACACACTCATTATTTCTAAACCTTGTCAATGACTACATTTCCTATTCATTTTGCTATATTTCCTATTCAAAAACTCATTTCATGTATGTTTTCATGGAAAACAAGGACATTTCTAAGTGACACCAAACTTTTGAACGGTAGTGTCCGTGTGCACACACACAACCAGTCAAAAGTTTGGACACACCTACTCATTCCAGGGTTTTTCTTTATTTTTTACATTGTAGAATAATCGTGAAGACATAAACTATGAAATAACACATATGGAATCATGTAGTAATCAAAAAAAAAGTGTTAAACAAAATCAAAATAGATTTTAGATTCTTCAAAGTAGCCACCCTTTGCCTTGATGACAACTTTGCACGCTCTTGGCATTCTCTCAACCAGCTTCATGAGGTTGTCACCTGGAATGCACTTCAATTAACAGGTGTGCCTTGTTAGAAGTTAATTTGTGGAATTTCTTTCCTTCTTAATGCGTTTGAGCCAAATCAGTTGTGTTGTGACAAGGTAGGGGTGGTATACAGCAGATAGTCCTATTTGGTAAAAGACCAAGTCCATATTATGGCAAGAACAGCTCAAATAAGCAGAGAGAAACGACAGTCCATCATTACTTTAAGACATGAAGGTCAGTCAATACGGAACATTTCAAGAACTTTGAAAGTTTCTTCAAGTGCAGTCGCAAAAACCATCAAGCGCTATGATGAAACCGGCTCTCATGAGGACCACGACAGGAATGGAAGACCCAGAGTTACCTCTGCTGCAGAGGATAAGTTCATTAGAGTTAACTGCACCTCAGATTGCAGCCCAAATAAATGCTTCACAGAGTTCAAGTAACAGACATCTCTACATCAACTGTTCAGAGGAGACTGCGTGAAATCAGGCCTTCATGGTCGAATTGCTGCAAAGAAACCACTACTAAAAAGACACCAATAAGAAGAAGAGACTTGCTTGGGCCAAGAAACAAGAGCAATGGACATTAGACCGGCATGTGTGGTTCCCACCGTGAAGCAGGGAGGAGGTGTGATGGTATTTGCTGTTGACACTGTCAAAACATGACACCTCCAGGCTGTGTAAGGGCTATTTGACCAATAAGGAGAGTGATGGAGTGCTGCATCAGATGACCTGGCCTCCACAATCACCTGACCTCAACCCAATTGAGATGGTTTGGGATGAGTTGGACCGCAGAGTGAAGGAAAAGCAGCCAACAAGTGCTCAGCATATGTGGGAACTCCTTCAAGACTGTTGGAAAAGCATTCCTCATGAAGCTGATTGAGAGAATGCCAAGAGTGTGCAAAGCTGTCAAGGCAAAGGGTGATTTAACACTTTTTTTGGTTACTACATGATTCCATATGTGTTATTTCATAGTTTTGATGTCTTCACTATTATTCTACAATGTAGAAAATAGTAAAAATAAAGAAAAACCCTTGAATGAGTAGGTGTCCAAACTTTTGACTGGTACTGTACATACATATACACATTTACACACACAGTGCCTTCAGAAAGTATTCATATCCCTTGACTTATTCCACATTGTGTTGTGTTACAGCCTGCATTCTCACCCACCTACACACAATCCCCCATAATGACAAAGTAAAATATATTTTTAGAAATGTTAGCACATTTATTGAAAATGAAATACAGAAATATCTCATTTACATAAGTATTCACACCCCTGAGTCAATACTTTGTAGAAGCACCTTTGGCAGTGATTACAGCTGTGAGTCTTTCTAAGTAAGTCTAAGAGCTTTCCACACCTGGATTGTGCAACATTTGCCCATTATTCATTTCAAAATTCTTCAAGCTGTCAAATTGGTTGTTGATCATCGCTAGTCAAAACAGTAACTCTGCCACTCAGGAACATTCACTGTCTTCTTGGTAAGCAACTCCAGTGTAGATTTGACCTTGTGTTTAAGGTTATTGTCCTGCTGAAACGTGAAATCATCTCTCAGTGTCTGGTGTAAAGCAGACTGAAGCAGGTTTTCCTTTAGGAGTTTGCCTGTGCGTAGCTCCATTCCGTTTTTATCCTGAAACTCTCCAGTCCTTAACAATTACAAGCATACCCATAAGATGATGCAGCCACCACTATGCTTGAAAATATGGACAGTGGTATTCAACTTAATTGCTTTGCCATTTTTTTGCAGTATTACTTTAGTGCCTTGTTGCAAATAGGATGCATGTTTTGGAATATTTAAATTCTGTACAAGCTTCCTTTTCACTGTTAATTAGGTTAGTATTGTGGAGTAAATACAAATGTTGTTGATCCGTCCTCATTTTTCTCCGATCACAGCGATTAAACTAACTGTTTTAAATTCACCATTGGCCTCATGTTGAAATCCCTGAGCGGTTTCCTTCATCTCCGGCAACTGAGTTAGGAAGGACGCCTGTATCTTTGTAGTGACTGGGTGTATTGATACGCCATCCAAAGTATAATTAATAACTTCACCATGCTCAAAGGGATGTCTGCTTTTTTTTTTTTTACATTTATTGTTATTGAAAAACCTCCTTGGTCTTTGTGGTTGAATCTGTGTTTGAATTTCACTCTTCGACTGAGGGACCTTACAGATAATTGTATGCGTGGGGTACAGAGATGAGGTAGTCATTCAAAAATCATGTTAAACCCTATTATCGCACACAGAGTGAGTCCATGCAACTTATGTGACTTAAGCACATTTCTACTCCTGAATTTATTTAGGCTTGCCATAACAAAGGGGTTAGATATCATCCTGACTAACATACCCTCTAAATACACCTCAGCTGTCTTCAACCAGGATCTCAGCGATCACTGCCTTATTGCCTGCGTCCGTAACGGGTCCGCGGTCAAACGACCACCCCTCATCACTGTCAAACGCTCCCTAAAACACTTTAGCGAGGAGGCCTTCCTAATGGACCTGGCCCAGGTATCCTGGATGGATATAGATCTCATTCCGTCAGTAGAGGATGCCTGGTTGTTCCTTAAAAGTAATTTCCTCTCAATCTTAAATAAACATGCCCCATTCAAAAAATACAGAACTAAGAACCGATATAGCCCCTGGTTCTCCTCAGACTTGACTGCCCTTGACCAGCACAAAAACATCCTGTGGCGTACAGCATTAGCATCAAATAGCCCCCGCGATATGCAACTTTTCAGGGAAGTTAGGAACCAATATACACAAGCAGTCAGGAAAGCAAAGGCTAACTTTTTCAAACAGAAATTTGCATCCTGTAGCACTAACTCCAAAAAGTTTTGGGACACTGTAAAGTCCATGGAGAATAAGAGCACTTCCTCCCAGCTGCCCACTGCACTGAGGCTAGGAAACACTATCACCACCGATAAATCTACAATAATCGAGAATTTCAACAAGCATTTTGCTACAGCTGGCCATGCTTTCCATCTGGCTACCACTAACCCGGCCACCAACTCTGCACCCTCTGCTGCAACTTGCCCATGCCCCCCCCGCTTCTCCTTCACACAAATTCAGACAGCTGATGTTTTGAAAGCGCTGCAAAATCTGGACCCCTACAAATCAGCTGGGCTAGACAATCTGGACCCTTTCTTTCTAAAACTAGCCGCTGAAATTGTCGCTAACCCTATTACTAGTCTGTTTAACCTCTCTTTCATAATGTCTGAGATCCCCAGAGATTGGAAAGCTGCCGCGGTCATCCCCCTCTTCAAAGGGGGTGACACTCTAGATCCAAACTGCTACAGACCTATATCCATCCTGCCCTGCCTTTCGAAAGTATTCGAAAGCCAAGTTAACAAACAGATCATCGACCATTTCGAATACCACCGTACCTTCTCCGCTATGCAATCCGGTTTCCGAGCTGGTCACGGGTGCACTTCAGCCACGCTCAAGGTCCTAAATGATATTATAACCGCGATTGATAATAGACAGTACTGTGCAGCTGTCTTCATCGACCTGGCCAAGGCTTTCGACTCTGTCAACCACCGCATTCTTATTGGCAGACTAAATAGCCTTGGTTTCTCAAATGACTGCCTCGCCTGGTTCACCAACTACTTCTCAGATAGAGTTCAGTGTGTCAAATCGGAGGGCCTGTTGTCTGGACCTATGGCAGTCTCTATGGGGGTGCCACAGGGTTCAATTCTTGGGCCGACACTTTTCTCCGTGTATATCAATGATGTCGCTCTTGCTGCTGGTGACTCTCTGATCCACCTCTACGCAGACGACACCATTTTGTATACATCTGGCCCTTCATTGGACACTGTGTTAACAAACCTCCAAACGAGCTTCAATGCCATACAACAATCCTTCAGTAGCCTCCAACTGCTCTTAAACACTAGTAAAACTAAATGCATGCTTTTCAATCGAACGCTGCTGGCACCCGCCCACCCGACTAGAATCACCACTCTCGACGGGTCTGACCTAGAGTATGTGGACAACTACAAATACCTAGGTGTCTGGTTAGACTGTAAACTCAACTTCCAGACTCACATAAAGAATCTCCAATCCAAAGTTAAATCTAGAATCGGCTTCCTATTTCGCAATAAAGCCTCCTTCACTCATGCTGCCAAACATGCCCTCGTAAAACTGACTATCCTACCGATCCTTGACTTCGGCGATGTAATTTACAAAATAGCCTCCAACACTCTACTCAGCAAATTGGATGTAGTCTATCACAGTGCCATCCGTTTTGTCTCCAAAGCCCCATACACTACCCACCACTGTGACCTGTACGCTCTTGTTGGCTGGTCCTCACTACATGTTCGTCGTCAAACCCACTGGCTCCAGGCCATCTATAAATCACTGCTAGGCAAATCCCCGCCTTATCTTAGCTCATTGGTCACCATAGCAGCACCCACCCGTAGTCTACGCTCCAGCAGGTATATCTCACTGGTCATTCCCAAAGCCAACACCTCCTTTGGCCGCCATTCCTTCCAGTTCTCTGCTGCCAATGACTGGAACGAATTGCAAAAATCTCTGAAGCTGGAGACTCTTATCTCCCTTAATAACTTTAAGCATCAGTTGTCAGAGCACCTTACCGATCACTGCACCTGTACACAGCCCATCCGAAATTAGCCCACCCAACTACCTCATCCCTATATATTATTTATTTTGCTCTTTTGCACCCCAGTATCTCTATTTGCACATAATCTCTTGCACATCTAGCATTCCAGTGTTAATACTATTGTAATTATTCTGCACTATAGCCTATTTATTGCCTTACCTCCATAACTTGCTACATTTGCACACACTGTATATATATATTTTCTGTTGTATTTTCTGACTTTATGTTTTTTTTACCCCATATGTAACTCTGTTGTTTTTATTGCACTACTTTGCTTTATCTTGGCCAGGTCGCAGTTGTAAATGAGAACTTGTTCTCAACTGGCTTACCTGGTTAAATAAAGGTGAAATAAAATAAATAAATAAAAAAAAAATACTTATTGACTCAAAACATTTCAGATTTTCATTTTTAATGACATTTGTAAACTTTTCTAAAAACATAATTCCACTTTGACATTATGGGGTATTATTGTCTGTAGGCCAGTGACACAACATCTCAATTCAATCAACTTTAAATTCAGGCTGTAACACAACAAAATGTGGAAAAAGTCAAGGGGTGTGAATACTTTCTGAAGGTAGTGTATTTATATTGCCACACTATGAGGTTGGAATAATACTGTGAATTTGTGAAAATTATGATAATGCCCTTTTAGTATAAGAGTTTGTAAAATAAAGTATAATACTTTGAAGGCAGTATGTATAAACATGTGTGTGCGTGTATGCATGCTTGTCCAGGTAATCTTTCCTTACCCCTGTAAAGACCCACTCCTGTTGTGGGGCCACGCTGGTCCCTTGGCCCTTCAGCGTACAGAGCTCTATCTTAACCTGGTCTGGCTGGGGGTAGGCCTGCAGACACAGCTGCTTCCCTATGTTGTGACGCAGCTCCTTATGGGACGTATACTCAAAGTACTGGGGAGACAGAGGAGAGATACAAAGTCTGAGACAAACGCTCCCTATAAAACGGGTCCCTTTTAAAACCTTCTGAAGGCTTACAGAGCATTTATAAAGTCTTTATGATAAGGGTTCATTAAGCCTTGAATACATTAAGCCTACTTGTTCCAAAATAGACATAACCCAATTCAATGAGAGTAAATACTGAGTCACCATCTACCACACAACCAGTGACAGTACAGTCCCTGGTTGCCCCCCCATGTTGTGGCACGTGTACAGTACCTGGTTTCCCCCCATGTTGTGGCACGTGTACAGTCCCTGGTTGCCCCCCCATGTTGTGGCACGTGTACAGTCCCTGGTTTCCCCCCATGTTGTGGCACATGTACAGTACCTGGTTGCCCCCCCATGTTGTGGCACGTGTACAGTACCTGGTTGCCCCCCCATGTTGTGGCACGTGTACAGTACCTGGTTGCCCCCCCATGTTGTGGCACGTGTACAGTACCTGGTTGCCCCCCCATGTTGTGGCACGTGTACAGTACCTGGTTTCCCCCCATGTTGTGGCACGTGTACAGTACCTGGTTTCCCCCCATGTTGTGGCACGTGTACAGTACCTGGTTGCCCCCCCATGTTGTGGCACGTGTACAGTACCTGGTTTCCCCCCATGTTGTGGCACGTGTACAGTACCTGGTTTCCCCCCATGTTGTGGCACGTGTACAGTACCTGGTTGCCCCCCCATGTTGTGGCACGTGTACAGTCCCTGCTTTCCCCCCATGTTGTGGCACGTGTACAGTACCTGGTTTCCCCCCATGTTGTGGCACGTGTACAGTCCCTGGTTTCCCCCCATGTTGTGGCACGTGTACAGTCCCTGGTTTCCCCCCATGTTGTGGCACGTGTACAGTCCCTGGTTTCCCCCCATGTTGTGGCACGTGTACAGTCCCTGGTTTCCCCCCATGTTGTGGCACGTGTACAGTCCCTGGTTTCCCCCCATGTTGTGGCACGTGTACAGTCCCTGGTTTCCCCCCATGTTGTGGCACGTGTACAGTACCTGGTTTCCCCCCATGTTGTGGCACGTGTACAGTACCTGGTTTCCCCCCATGTTGTGGCACGTGTACAGTCCCTGGTTGCCCCCCCATGTTGTGGCACGTGTACAGTCCCTGGTTTCCCCCCATGTTGTGGCACGTGTACAGTACCTGGTTTCCCCCCATGTTGTGGCACGTGTACAGTACCTGGTTTCCCCCCATGTTGTGGCATGTGTACATGATCAGTGGCTTTCCTCCTTGGTTGTTTTCTCCTACATCCAGACAGCTCTGAGTGCCAGAGTTCTTAATCTGCACACACACACACACACACGATATCAACACAGCGAATAAACATGCACTGCTGTACAGAACTTCCCTGAGGCACAACGGAACACAACTGAAGGGAGTGAGTCTGTGTGTGTGTGTGTACACACCTGAAGGGATTCGGGAACAAGACTTACCGCTCCAAACTTGGTTGGGGTGAGGTCTGGTATGAACATCTCAGGGTAGATATTATTCAGATACCAGGTGAAGTTCTTACACTGCAGGCTGTCCCTCAGATTCAGCCGCTCTGAGATGTCACCAAACTCTTTCTGCAACACAGAGTAGTGGAAATGAGTGAGAGGGGAACTCTGGAACAAGTGGCTTCTTCAATCTGTGCACTGACCGTTAACTTTAACCCCATATATATCATATATAGGCACTCATAAAAACATCTATTTTAGCCTACTCCAGATGCATATTAATTTCTTATAAACAGATTGCGGTATGCGCAGACACGCATTACGTGCAGTAGTGTGTTGGCTTACAGTTAACCTTGATTAAGATGTTCCTTTTGTGTCGAGCGAATGTGAGATTACCAAATCTGGCAACACAAGATTATCTAATAGTATTATGGAACTTGGAGTAAATGAAAACAAGCCATGGGCTTAACTAACCCTTGTACTCTCACCTCTTGTGCCATTTGAGCAGCGTTCTGGTTGCATCTTTAGTAGACGTTTATTGCACAGCACTATATCTAACAGTACAGTATATGAAACTTGGAGTTGACTGAGAACATGGGCATACCTCTTTAGCCATCTTCGCAGCGTTACTGTTGCGTCGGTAGAAGATGCGTTTGTAGTCGTCCATCCAGACCTCTGCTAGTCGTACCTGGTTCCGTGTGATGACCTCAGTGCCTTTAGGGAAGGTGTGGGGGGACTTGGTACGGAACACGTGACCCACCACAGAACACGGAATGATCTCCAGCTGGCCCCCACACTGCCACACCTGGGGGGGTGGGATGATGTCAGAAAGTTGATCACAGTTAGCTGGATAACTTAGTGACCTGCTTTGTCACTGGAGGTACAATGACGAAGGACACACTGATTATTTACTATTGTATTGATGACTTTCTGTGAACACTGATTCTGTAGCAGCTGAAGTCTGTTTTGACTTCCCAGAAGCCTCTGGGGCTGGTGTTTACAGAACATTTGGTGATGTATGTCTGATTAGGATATTAAGGGCTTGTCTCCAAGAGGCCAGTTAGACATTTTCTCTGCTTCTGTGCTGGGTGGTGTCTCCTGGTTGCAACTTGTAATTAACCCGATTGATTGATTTTTGATTGACTTTACCCATGACTGCTGTCCCTTTTCTTCACCTGGAAATTCCCATTGCAGACACATGTTCACACCATACTCAATTTACAGTACATGTAATTTCAATCATTCCAACATGTACAATTAAGTTGTGAGATTTGTAGAAACAAGGATGATTATTTAAGACCAGAGCCATATACAATGTCGAGGTCACATGACACCATTCAACCAATTTAATTGAGGTAATAATCAACAGAAACAGAATGTCTTTGAGAAACCATAATGACTAAACTCTATATATGGCTCAGTGTTTTAGACTCACTTAAGTACTTGATATATTCCACTTTATTAACGCTATTAGAGGAAAGGGCAGAGGGGAAACTAACCCTGAAGGACATCTCCACATTCTCACCCCCCCAGATCTCCATCTTATCGTCGTACGTCCCGATGTGTTCAAAGTACTTCTTGGAGATGGAGAAGAGACCACCGGCAAATGTTGGAGTTCTGAAGGAACAGACCCGCAGAGGTGGCAAATGGTGTCAATGCAATGCAAAAGCATGAGATAATGTTTATTACAACAAGTCTACAAAACATTAAGAACACCTTCCTAATATTGAGTTGCACCCCACTTTTCCCTCAGAACAGCCTCAATTCATTGGGGCAAAGACTCTTCAAGGTGTCGAAAGCGTTCAACAGGGATGCCCACAGTTGTGTCAAGTTGGCTGGATGTACTTTGGGTGGTGGACCATTCTTGATACACACAGGGAAACTGTGGAGAGTGAAAAACCAAGCAGCGTTGCAGTTCTTGACACAACGGGTGCGCCTGGCACCTACCACCATATCCAGTTCAAAAGGCACATATATTTTGTCTTAAATGGCACAAATACACAATCCATGTCTCAAATTGCCTCAAGGCTTAAAAATCCTTCTTTAACCTGTCTCATCCCCTTCATCTACACTGATAGAAGTGGATTTAACAAGTGACATCAATAAGGGATCATAGCTTTCACCTGGTCAGTCTATGTCATGGAAAGAGCAGGTGCTCGTAATGTTTTGTACACTCAGTGTATATGCTCTGTTTTAGACTATATTAAGTATTTTATATAGTCCACTTTATTAACGCTGTTTGAATTATATAATATTGTGTAATATGTTAATGTTATATTATGTTATTATACATGCTGAATTGTGAGCTTTTCATTAACATATCATTAACTTCACTATGCATACACACCATTTGCCAGGTCTCGTTCGATTCCTCATGGGATTTTAAGGGGTTAAATAAAGGGTAAATGATATAAAACATGTTTGGTGGGTCCCTAGCCCTTACTTGACGGGGTAGGTCTCGTCTTTGCGTCTGTTCCTCTCATGTTCGGGGATGCCCTCCCAGCCGAAGGTGAGGCTCCAGTCAAAGTTTCCTCTGTTGTGGGCCTTAGCGGTGGCTACAGGCTTGTTGAAGGCAAAGTTATTCAGGTTGATGGTGGTGATCTCTGGGCTGACCACAGCCGTGGGCTCCTCTACGATACGAGCCAGCAGGGGCTCCAGCCAGCCGTGGAAACACTCACCTGGGGAGGGGAGGGTAGTGTTCAGTAGTTAGATTTTTTATTTTATTTTTTACAAACAAAGTACAACAAGGAGGTTCAGTAGACAAACGTTGTGGAACATTGCAGATAGAGACGTAATGAATGAAGCCGACTCCATTCCCAATTCTACATGACAGAAAATCATATATACTCTACACAATACTATTCTATGTGAATGTTTTGTAACGCTGCATCCTCCTGGCCATCCTTCTCGCCTCAACAGACCCCAGGTGCATCCACCTTTGGCAGAGATTACAGCCTCCAGTCTTCTTGGGTATGACACTACAACCTTGGCACGCCTGTATTTGGCGAGTTTCTCCCATTCTTCTCTGCATATCCTCTCAAGCTCTGTCAGGTTGGATGGGGAGCGTCACTGCACAGCTATTTTCAGGTCTCTCCAGAGATGTTCGATCGGGTTCAAGTCCAGGCTCTGGCTGGGCCACTCAAAGACTTGTCCTGAAGCCACTCCTACGTTGTCTTGGCTGTGTGCTTAGGGTCGTTGTCCTGTTGGAAGGTGAACCGTTGCCCCAGTCTGAGGTCCTGAGCGCTCTGGAGCAGGTTTTCATCAAGGATCTCTGTTCATCTTTCGATCCTGACTAGTCTCCCAGTCTCTGCCGCTGAGAAACACCCCCACAGCATGATGCTGCCACCACCATGCTTCACCGTAGGGATGGTGCCAGGCTTCCTCCAGACGTGATGCTTGGCATTCAGGCTAAAGAGCTCAATCTTGGTTTCATCAGACCAGAGAATCTAGTTTCTCATGGTCTGAGAGTCCTTTAGGTGCCTTTTTAGCAAACTCCAAGCGGGATGTCATGTGCCTTTTACTGAGGAGTGGCTTCCGTCTGGCCACTCTACCATAAAAGCCTGATTGGTGGAGTGCTGCAGAGATGGTTGTCCTTCTGGAAGGTTCTCCCAACTCCACAGAGGAACTCTGAAGCTCTGTCAGAGTGACCATCGGGTTCTTGGTCACCTCCCTGACCAAGGCCCTTCTCCCCCGATTGCTCAGTTTGGCTGGGCGGCCAGCTCTAGGAAGAGTTTTGGTGGTTCCAAACTTCTTCCATTTAAGAATGATGGAGGCCACTGTGTTCTTGGGGACCTTCAATGCTGCAGAAATGTTTTGGTCCCCTTCCCCAGATCTGTGCCTAGACACAATCCTGTCTCTGAGCTCTACGGACAATTAATTCAACCTCATGGCTTGGTTTTTGCTCTGACATGCACTGTCAACTGTGGGACCTTATATAGACAGGTGTGTGACTTTCCAAATCATGTCCAATCAATTGAATTTACCACAGGTGGACTCCAATCAAGTTGTAGAAATATCTCAAGGATGATCAATGGAAACAGGATGCACCTGAACTCAATTTCGAGTCTCATAGCAAAGGGTCTGAATACTTATGTAAATAAGGTATTTGTTTGTTTGTTTAAAAAAATCAAAACCTGTTTTCGCTTTGTCATTATGGGGTATTGTGTGTAGATTGATGAGGATTTTTATTTAATCCATTTTAGAATAAGGCTGTAATGTAACAACATTTTGAAAAAGTCAAGGGGTCAGAATACTTTCCGTATGCACAATTTATAGAAGTGTTTAAAAGTAGTTTATAAACTCAATTATTAGATTATATGTATTAAATCTGTACTAAACATTTAAACAAATACAGATGAAACAATGGTTGTAAATGGATTGGTCTCATGGGAACCATTTTACCCCTCCACCGATCCTTCCTTGTGGGCAAGGGAATAGACGTGAGAGGGTCAATAAGGGGTGAACTGTGTTGCTCTGGCCTTTTGAGCTAGCTACTGACAGTGCTTCCATCCATCTCCTTTCGTATTGTTTTTGAACATAGGACAGTGGAGGAAAGACAGCAAAGGATGAGGAGCTCGAGTCAAAGGGCAGTGGCTGGATTTGAAACCATGCCGACTCTGGCATGTATACAGTGAGGTCCAGAAGTATTTGGACAGTGACACATTTTTTGTTGCGATTACGGATAAGCATGAATGAATCGTGAATACTGATGAGTGAGAAAGTTAGAGGCATGAATATCATATCCCCACCAGAAATGCTAACCTCCCGTGATATTGTAATAGTGAGAGGTTAGCATGTCTTGGGGGTATGATATAAAATGCTAACCTCCCGTGATATTGTAATAGTGAGAGGTTAGCATGTCTTGGGGGTATGATTTAAATGCTAACCTCCCGTGATATTGTAATAGTGAGAGGTTAGCATGTCTTGGGGGTATGATATAAAATGCTAACCTCCCGTGATATTGTAATAGTGAGAGGTTAGCATGTCTTGGGGGTATGATCTTTGACCCTCTAACTTTCTCACTCAATATTATTTACGTTTCAGTCATCATTATCCATAAGTAATCATGGTAGCATCCACATTAAATGTAGAAGAATCCAGAAACATATTTTATTCTCATTTACAATAAAAGTGACTCCAAAATGACACAATACATTACTTACCATTCATTTCTATTGGGTACAAAATCATCTGAAACAACCAAAACAAGCTGCAAATGCATCCAACAAGTTTGTAGAGTTAAAAGCTTTATGTAGTCATTGCGTGCTAGGAATATGGGACCAAATAACTTAATACAAATGTATTTAGGTTACTTAAATACTTTAGGTTACTTAAAAATGGGGGGACTATTTATGAAAAGTGCTGTAATTTTCTAAACGGTTCACCAGATTTGGATGAAAATACCCTTAATTTAAATCTGACCTCATTGTCATTGTATAATTTCAAAATGCAAAGTGCTGGAGTACGGATCCAAAACAAGCAAAACTGTGTCACTGTCGAAATACTTTTGACCCTCAGTGTACAGCATGTGTGCCATAGGACACCATCCACCTATTCCTAGTTGGCTAGTAGCTGTCACAGTGTGCATCCAGGAAGGTGAGTGTCTCTCCCTGGGTCCCCGAGCATTCATTCATCCATCCATCCATCCATCCATCACTACTCACAGTGTGCGTCCAGGAAGGTGAGTGTCTCTCCCAGTGCCCCTCTGGCCCCAAGGAGCCTGGCTGTGATCAGGCCCTTCCTCTCCTGCTGTCTCACCACCTTCACTATCTTCAGCTGTTTCACATACTCATCCAGCCGGGTCCCCAGGTGCTCTGGTAGGAAGAAGAAAATAATGTCATAACAGGTATGTGTTTTCTTCAGGAGGTCTGGAGCATCATCGTGTTTAGCCAGGAACTTGGCTGACATTTTCTTTAGGTGATCTGGAGCATGGGGGTTGGCGGGGTTAATGACAGGAGGTTAATGCTGCGTTCATAACAAGTGGGAAACTCAGAAAATACTACTTGTAAAATGGGAGCAACGAGTTGTGAGTGTTCACATGCTTTGAACTTGTTGAAAACACCTATTGGTTAAATGGCAAAGAAGCTGCATCAACCATAAACTAAAAGTACAGCTATCATGCTCGTAAACAAATTAGTGTTTGAAACCATATTAATAGATTGATTTTCCTAAATAATGTTTTGTTGTTAACTGCCGAAAAAGCTGTTTGAGGTAATTTCCTTAGTATGTGACGTCAGAGTTCAGCATGTGGGAGAAGTCTGAGCTCAGGCATGATAGACGTATTTTCCACTAGTAATTACGAGTTAGAGGGGCGTTCAAGTGAATTTTTCCCGGTCGTATGCTTGTATTTACAAGATGTTATGAACACAGCATTAGAACAGCATCTCTAGGGAACTGACAGAGAGCAGGGGTGTGTTCAATGACATGTACATAGAAATTGAATTAATAGAGCTGACAATTTCCAATTCTACCTGACGGAGTCATATCTGTTCTACATAACACAATGCTTTTTAAATGTGATGGCATAGGACTGTAACCCCATGGTGTCTAAATGTGATGGCATAGGACTGTAACCACATCCAGTCATATTTAGAAAAGAGGAAACAGTAGAGCTCTGAGAACAGAACTGTCTCACAAGTTTCAGTATTAATAAGACTGCACTGTATGCAATGCACTGGCCACAACGAACATCACGCTTCTTCCACAACATATTTAAGAAACCACATGCTAAGTCAGTCAATTTGCTAGCTAGTATACAGATGGTCGTTAAAACAGGGTGAGAGATTGAAGCGAACCTATACAGTCAGGAGGAGATAGAGGTTCCAAGGTCCAGGAGCAGTTATACTGTAGTTAACCAAGCAACTGCGTAATAAAGCACCTCCTCGTTTAGTCTTTATTACGGACACTTGTCCAGTCATTGACACGTTAACAGTCTAATAATAATGGTAGGCTGCGTTTTAACAGGCAGCCCAATTCTGATATTTCTTTTCCACTTATTGGTCTTTTTCACCTCAGATATTTTCCAGATCCGATTGGTCAAAACACCAATTAGTGAAAAAGATCAGAATTGAACTGCCTGTGTAAATGAAGTCACACATGCTTTGCTCTGAAACAGAGTTGTGATCCGTAGACAAGAAACCGAAGAACGAGCTCAGAAACAAGGAATATAATTAATTTAATTATCTATGGCAAAATGCTTGGCTAAGTTGTGCCCTAATGAACACGACCCAGGCTCCACAGTATGTTTTACTCTAAGAGCCTGTGGCGTCAAGCTCTAAACCAAGGCCTAGTGGCGTCAAGCTCTAAACCAAGGCCTAGTGGCGTCAAGCTCTAAACCAAGGCCTAGTGGCGTCAAGCTCTAAACCAAGGCCTATCTATCTCCTGCTCTAAGTCCACCCATGGCGTCAGGCTCCAGTTCTTGAGCCATCATGCCCACCTGTGGTGCTGGCGTTGTCCACTAATCAATTATATGAATTGATTAATTATCGCTGCCCTAAGGTTTGCCCCAAGTCATTAACAGGACTATAGCTAGGCTCCAGTGCTAGCTACAGTAAAGCCCTGAAAGATGCCAACCTGCAGTGCTGGCGTCATCCACCATGATGATCTCAGTGAGCAGGGTGGCAGGGGAGGTGTGGAGGACACTGTAGACGGTACGCAGCAGGGTGGACCAGGCCTCGTTGTGGAACACTATGATTACACTGGTGGTGGGGAGAGGAGGACAGCGACGGAACTTACGCTCCACACACCTGGGAGAAAATAATGGGCAAGACTGTGTCAAATCAAAACCAAGCTGTCATAAACAGATTTAGACTAACAGTGAAATGCTTAGTTACGGGCCCTTCCCAAAAATCCAGAGAGAATAAAAGAGAAATAATATAAAAATTATAAACGCAAGGAATAAATACACAATGAGTAACGATAACTTAGCTATATACACAGAAAATCAGTACCGAGTCGATATGCAGTGGTACGAGCTAGATATGTAGATTTAGGTAAAGGTAAAGTGACTAGGCAACAGGATAGATGATAAACAGTAGCAGCAGCAGCGTATGTGATGAGTCAAAAGAGTTAGTGCAAAAAGGGTCAATGCAGATAGTTAAATAGTTAATCAATAGCTACCCAGACTAACTATTTAGCAGCCTTATGGCTTGGGGGTAGATGCTGTTTAGGGTCCTGTTGGTTCCAGACGGTGCATCGGTACCGCTTGCCGTGCGGTAGCAGAGAGAACAGTCTATGACTTGGGTGGCTGGAGTCTGACAAATTCTTGGGGCCTTCTTCCGACACCGCCTGGTATAGAGGTCCTGGATGGCAGGAAGCTTGGCACCAGTAATGTACTGGGCTGTACGCACTACCCTCTGTAGCGCCTTGCGGTCGGATGCCAAGCAGTTTCCATACCAAGCGGTGATGCAGCCAGTCAAGATGCTCTCAATGGTGTAGCTGTAGAACATTGAGGATCTGAGGGCCCATGTAAAATCTTTTCAGCCCAGAGAGGGAAGAGGCGCTGTCGTGCCCTCTTCACAACTGTGTGGGTGTGTGTGGACCATGTTAATTAATTAGTGACGTGGACTCAGAGGAACTGGAAGCTCTGGACCCTCTCCACTACAGCCCTGTCGATGTGGATGGAGGCGTGCTCGGCCCTTCGTTTTCTGTAGTCCACGATCAGCTCCTTTGTCTTGCTGACGTTGAGGGAGAGGTTGTTGTCCTGGCACCAAACTTCCAGGTGTGTGTGTGTGTGTGTGTGTGTGTGTGTGTGTGTGTGTGTGTGTGTTCTCACTCTCAGAAAGCTGATAGTCATAAAAAGGAAAAAAGGTCAATATTATCTGCACTGTGAGTTCACAAAAAATATTTTAGGAAAAAACATCACTCAGACTTTTCATTGCTGTCAAGGTATCACACCACCCCTCTCGATCACCATGGTTACTCTATGGACAAAACATTAAGGGCTGGTTTCTCGGCCCCAACGGTAATACGCTACCCACTCCTCAACCCTTCTTCCATCACCATGGTTACAATTAGTTCCAAAGTCTTAGGGTGCGTTCTAATAAGATCTTGTTTCTCCTGAAATGTGCACTAGTTCACTACTTCCCACAAGTATAAAATCATTGGATTGGTGTAGGAATGGGCTAGTGGGAGTTCCAACCAGATTTCTTATACAAGCCATTTCCTTTCAAATCAGTTAAGGGAAGTGAACAAGTGCACACTTTGGGAGGAAGGAGAGATAATTGGGACATAGTCTTACTCTGGTGGCCGGGTGTCATCTCCTAGGCTACGGCTGAGGGAGATCCGGTCAGAGGAGAACTGGTTGAAACAGTTCACAGTCATCCCTTCTTCCTTCTCTTTCTCCTCCTCTGGTGTCATCTTTTCTTTCTCATAGCCCGTCCCATCGGCCCCGGGCCCCTGGGGGTCCTGTTGTGGCCTCTCCAGGGCTGGCTTCAGCTCCGCCTGGGTGTAGTGACCTGGAGGACAGTTGCGGTCTGGGGTGGCCTGCTGCTCCTCCACCGGTGGAGGCTGGGGAGCTCCGATCTGGAAGCCCAGGTTATTATTAGTTTTCTTCATTTTATTTAAAAATAATAATAATAATAATAATAATAATAATAATGGTCACTAAGCCCACCCACACTACTACTCTAGTCCCCCCACCAAAAGGACCCATACAGGTACCTGGAAGCCCAGGTTGTTGACTGCTCCTCGGACCATCACCAGCACTCTCTCCTTGCGTTCCACCAGGTCCTGGAACCAGGGGTCCTGGACAGATTTGGAGCCCACGTCCTTCTGGAGGACCACGAGGACAACCATGAACAGAGTCCCCCCAACCAGGGCCAGCTTCAGGGGGGACACGCGCCGACGCAGGAACAGACGCATGGTGGTGGGTCAATGCAAAATGGCCGCAGCTGGGGGAGGGGGGGGAGAGAGACAGAGAGAAACAGAGGGAGAGAAGTGAGCGAGAAAAATAGAAAGTTAATTTAGAACTGGAGGCATTACATAGTAATAGCAGCGAAGAGCTATTTAAGACTACTAACAATTTTCTTAAATAGACACTGGACTCAAACACAAAGAAACAGAAAATGGACTCAAATACTTTCTTCACCTGACACCAAGGTGAATCTATTGCAGTTTTAAATGCAGCTCTACCCAAAACCAGATGTCTATAATAACTACCTGCCAAATGTCAAAAGATTTGGTCCTGTCAGCTCTTCTTAACCAGCGTGTACTAGCCATGTACCTAGCAACTCCTATAACACTCCTCCACTGTCATAGCTACTCTCTCTCCCTCGCTTTCTCGTTCCTGGCTGGAGGTGGAGTCCCAGAGGAACAGCCACACACAGGGAACCGAGGGAGTAGAGAGAACGAGAGTGAAAGAACAAACAGAACCTCTCGGTAAACAGTTATTAACACCTGAGAACCACAATGGAAATACGTCTGTTGACTTTGTTTAAGGTCCTCAATCATTTGTACCATTTTATTGTTGATTTCAATTGGCTGAAGCGACTATGTTTTTTAAATGTGTCCACTTTAAATTCAATCATACCTGCCTGCACCCAACTGCTCCAGCCAAGAACACACCTGTCCAGGTAAACCCCGGTCATACTGTGTTGAGGTGTGAATAAAGGAGTCAGGCGCAGGAGGTAAAACACAGAAGTCCAGAGTTTATTCCGTTTACATAAATCAAACGCACCCAACGTCAAAATGAAACTATAACAAGGGAAATATTCCACCTTGGCAATAACAAAAATGGAAGAGAAGCTCAACCGAGCTACTCGCTCTCACAATGAAACAATCACTCATAAAGACAAGGGGAACAGAGGGAACACTTATACACATACTAATTAGGGGAATGAGCACCAGGTGTGTGTGATTGACAAGACAAGACATGACAAGTGGAGTGATGAGAATGGGATCGGCAGTAGCTAGTAAGCTGGTGACGACGAACGCCGAAACCTGCCCGAACAAGGAGGGGAGGCAGCCTCGGCGGAAGTCGTGACACATACCCTCCCTTCCCTTCCACTCCTGGATGCGCGGGTCACCTTGTGGACCTTCACCTGTCGTCTGACTGAGCAGCTCCCACACACATTAATGAATGACACATCACGCCTTCCATAAAACACACCCACGACTATGACTAATGACAAACACACCTGGACAGATTCAGCTCCACAACTAGCCATGAATGGTTCCTAGTGAATATGGCCTAATATGGGCTGTTGTGCCAAATCCATTACTGTCATTCACTGGAGCTGGCAAGACAGCACTAACAGATCTTGGACAACAACGTCCTGCTTTATGAGGGGGTATCAATCACAATAATGATAGGCTTAGGCTTACTGCTTAGGGCCTCTTAAACTCTTACTTTCTCATCATTCATTTAAGCCAGTCCTCTTAAGGAAAGCCTACCTTCATCATTGATTCAATACACTTGTGTGGTTCAAGAGCCCAACATTGGCCACACAGAGCAATACTGACTCGAATGTTGACAGCCTGTTTGCCTTGTTGTCATACCGGTAACAGAGGTCAGTAATGCCATGTGAAGACTCCCGAGTGGCGCAGTGGTCTAAGGCACTGCATCGCAGTGCTAGCTGTGCCACTAGATATCCTGGTTTGAGTCCAGGCTCTGTCGCAGCCGGCCGCGACCGGGAGACCCATGGGTGGCGCACAATTGGTCAAGCATCGTCCAAGGTAGGGGAGGGTTTGGCCGGCAGGGATGTGGGTTCGTTTCCCACGGGGGGCCAGTATGAAAAGAAACAAAAAAATAAACATGTATGCATTCACTAACTGTAAGTCGCTCTGGATAAGAGCGTCTGCTAAATGACTAAAATGTAAAAAAGGAGGACAGGGTTGTTGCTTCAACTCTTTCTAGTTCTACCATGTAGTATGGAAAACGTGCTCAGAACAACTTTGCCCTTCCATTAATGTATGAACGTAACAAATAATCATCCTGATACCAAATTGTTAATATTTTGTTCTTGGACAACAATAAAATATGGAATTTTTACAATTAATTCTAATTTGTAACAATACTGTACTTCAAAGCCATCATTGTATGACTGTCAGTGAATGCAATGCCAAATATAAGTAAGCAAACTACTTCAGCCCGTGATGACACTTTCTCTACTCCCTCCACTGAACTCTGCAACTTTTCAAGGACAAGATCACCAAAATAAACTCATCACTGACTGATCAATCTGCCCCTCCCCGTCAACCTCCCAACAGTCACCTCTGAAACAGACTCCACACATTCGCCCCCCCCATTGACTCTCCCTATATCTCAAAACTCGTCATGTCATCCAAGATTACAACCTGCTCCCTGGATCCTCTACCCACAGTTCTCATTAAAGCATGCCTGCCTGCTCTCTGTCCATACCGTACCTACATCAACCTCTCCCTTGCCCATGGAGCTGTGCCGTCAGACTACAAAATCCCTGCAGACTACAAAATCCCTGCAGTCACCTCCATCTTAAAGAAGGCCAGACTAGATACACTACATAGCCAAAAGTATGTGGACACTCCTTCAGATTAGTGGATTCAGCCACACCCATTGCTGACAGATGTATAAAATCGAGCACACAGCCATGCAATCTCCATAGACAAATATTGGCAGTAGAATGGCCTTACTGAAAAGCTCAGTGACTTTCAATGTGGCACCGTCATAGGATGCCACCTTTCCAACAAGTCAGTTCGTCAAATGTCTGCCCTACTAGAGCTGCCCCGGTCAACTGTAAGTGCTGTTATTGTGAAGTGGAAACGTCTAGGAGCAACAACGGCTCAGCTGCGAAGTGGTAGGCCACACAAGCTCACAGAATGGGACCGCTGAGTGCTGAAACGCAACACTCACTACCGAGTTCCAAACTGCCCCTGGAAGCTACGTCAGCACAACTGTAAAGTTTGGTGGAGGAGGAATAATGGTCTGGGGCTGTTTTTTATGGTTCAGGCTAGGCCCCTTAGTTCTTGTGAAGGTAAATCTTAACTCTACAGCATACAATGACATTCTAGACGATTCTGTGCTTCCAACTTTGTGGCAACACTTTGGGGAAGGTCCTTTCCTGTTTCAGCATGACAATGCCCCCGTGCACAAAGCGAGGTCCATACAGAAATGGTTTGTAGAGATCGGTGTGGAAGAACTTGACTGGCCTGCACTGAGCCCTGACCTCAACCCCATTGAACATCTTTGGGAAGAATTGGAACGCTGACTGCGAGCCAGGCCTAATCGCCCAACATCAGTGCCCGACCTCTCTAATGCTCGTGGCTGAATGAAAGCAAGTCCACGCAGCAATGTTCCAACATCTAGTGGAAAGCCTTCCCAGAAGAGTGGAGGCTGTTTTAGCAGCAAAGAGGGGACCAACTCCATATTAATGCTTATGATTTTGGAATGAGAGGTTCCAACTTTTGGCCATGTAGTGTACCTCCATCCTCAAAAACTATCGCCCCATCTCCAACCTCCCCTTCCTCGCCAAAACTCTTGACTGCAAAACTTTGACTACTAAATAGCTACCCGGACTATCTGCATTGACCCTTTTTGCACTAACTCTTTTGACTCATCACATACGCTGCTGCTACTGTTTATCATCTATCCTGTTGCCTAGTCACTTTACCTTTACCTAAATCTACATATCTACCTCAACTACCTCGTACCACTGCACATCGACTCGGTACTGGTACTTTGTGTATAATAACAATAATAATATGCCATTTAGCAGACGCTTATATAGCCAAGTTATCGTTACTCATTGTGTCTTTATTCCTAGTGTTATTATCTTTATATTATTTTGCTATAATCTGCGTTGCTGACAGTCTGTAATACCAACATGTTTCAAGCAGACCACCATAGTCCCCGTGCCCAAGGACACTAAGAACCTGCCTAAATGACTACTGACCCGTAGCACTGACATCTGTAGCCATGAAGTGCTTTGAAAGGCTGGTCATGGCTCACATCAACACCATTATCCCTGAAACCCTAGACCCACTTACATTTGCATACCGCCCCAACAGATCCACAGATGATGCAACCTCTATTGCACTCCACACTGCCCTTTCCCACCTGGACAAGAGGAACACCTACGTGAGAATGCTATTCATTGACTACAGCTCAGCATTCAACACCATAGTGCCCTCAAAGCTCATCACTAAGCTAAGGATCCTGGGACTAAACACCTCCCTCTGCAACTGGATCCTGGACTTCCTGACGGGCCGCCCCCAGGTGGTAAGGGTAGGTAACAACACATCTGCCACACTGATCCTCAAAACGGGGGCCCCTCAGGGGTGCATACTCAGTCCCCTCCTGTACTCCCTGTTCATCCATGACTGCATGGCCAGGCACGACTCCAACACCATCATTAAGTTTGCCGACGACACAACAGTGGTAGGCCTGATCACCGACAACGATGAGACGGCCTATAGGGAGGAGATCAGAGACCTGGCCGTGTGGTGCCAGGATAACAACCTCTCCATCAACGTGACCAAGACAAAGGAGATGATTGTGGACTACAAGAAAGAAAAAAAAAGAGGACTGAGCACGCCCCCATTCTCATCGACGGGGCTGTAGTGGAACAGGTTGAGAGCTTCAAGTTCCTTGGTGTCCACATCACCAACAAACTATCATGGTCCAAACACACCAAGACAGTCGTGAAGAGGGCACGACAAAGCCTATTCCCCCTCAGGAGACTGAAAAGATTTGGCATGGGTCCTCAGATCCTCAAAAAATTCTACAGCTGCACCATCGAGAGCATCCTGACCGGTTGCATCACCGCCTGGTATGGCAACTGCTCGGCCTCTGACCGCAAGGCACTAGAGGGTAGTGCGTACGGCCCAGTACATCACTGGGGCCAAGCTTCCTGCCATCCAGGACCTCTATACCAGGCGGTGTCAGA